CACGTATTACTATCACCCTACAAGAGATCTTGTAGATATGCTATTCTGTCGTGCTCTGTTTTTTTGGTCATTCATGGTTGAATATATATACCAGATTCGCCTGGAATTTGTCTTTTGTTCATAATGTGAAATTAAGAGGGAGTCGAATAATTGAGCTTTACCTTTTCTTTATTGCTTTGCACAGATAGTGCAATCTTGTCAAAAGTTTTGTATATATTCTTGTACTTACCCCTACAGTACTCGAACAATGGAACTCATTCATAGCGTGGTTAAAAAAAAACTTGATCGCTCATGGTATTCAGCCAATTTAACAGGGTTCTCCTAATTACAAAAATCTGAGAAAGATAATTATAGAAATGTTTTATGATTAATTAAGGATATATATGCCGATGATTATAGAGACTTTTCTTAATTAATTACGTACTACAAGAAAAATTCTAAAGAAAAACAAGACAAATTAATTTTAACTATGGTTTGTCTAATTTTTATATGCTAGCACGGAGAGGCCATGCATTCTTGTTTTTTTAATTAAAAAGAAGCACCAAACTTAATTAACAACATAATGGCATCCTTGGTCAGAGAATTAAGCCGGCGAAAAGAAAATCTGATCATGCTTTATCATAACCCATATTAAAAAAACTAAAGGAGGAGGATTCACAATAGTACTTGATATTAATTAATTTAGAAATAACCAAGAATATATGAATATGAATTAATTATATTGCAAGATTTTCTTTTTGTCTTTAATTGACAATTCATAATTCAGGTTTAAAAAAAACCATAATTATTTTTTTGCAATTCATCCCTTTTTTAAGGGTTCCACCATAATAATGGAGACAAACAATCGTATTTTCATTGGGATTCTTGACATGTATTACTATTGCCGTTTTAGGCGGAAAACTTAGAGGATAAAATATATATGCGACATTACTCGTTAATAAATTATTGATAGTTTTAATGGGAGCTGTCGTTTTCTCCATTACTAAACTGCATGTGGGTGTGGATTTATTAGAACTTTGATTACTATTGGTTTACCCGTTAGGGCTTTTTCTTCAATGATATATTTGGCGTATCTACGGGTATTGATCAGTGCTCTTTATGATCGGTACACTAAAATTGTGCGCAAAAACTAATTGGTAGGGGATCATTCAGTTTTCGTTTAAAATTAAATTTGAATCGAATTACTATTTAATTTTTCGGTTTTAATTTTTTGATTTAAAACTATTTTATTTTATTTCGTTTAAAAAAATAGTATAAATAGATAAAAAAAAAACATCATCAATCCATTATATATCTACGATAATGGTAAGTTATTGATTTTTTAAATTTATTTACATTGTTTTAAAAATTAAAATAATTTTTAAAATATGGTTTACAATTTAAACCAAATAAAAAAATCCAAAAACCAAACCGAAATGAAAAGAAAAAATTCATTTTTTTTTAGTTAAAAATTGATATTTTAGTTCTTTTTTTTTTTTTTTTTGTCATTCATTGAAACGTAAATAATTTACCTAAAATTCGGTCAGAAAAGGATTTAACATCAGTAAACATTGACTAATCAAATGGTATCCTCACCAAAAAAAAAAAAAAAAAAAACATTACGATTAGGAAAAACCCACCATTTAGGGATATGATACTTTCAAGTTTGAATCTGGAAGCTCCAAATACTAACAACGGTTTTTCCCTTGAAGATTGTATTGTTTTCATTTCAATTTTTATATATTTTCAACTTGCAATGACTATATTGGAAATTAGTACAATGACTTACCATGCATAAGAATCAATTTAAATAGACTCCATGATGTTATCGCTTGGTGAACTTTCACTCTGGTCTTAAACCTGCGCCTAGCTAGGCCCAGGATTATTGAAACAAGTTTTTGACAAATTATCAAATCAATGAACGAGGTTAAAATTAATGAATTTAGTGCCACAATTTATACAAATTTTCTAATTAGATGTCTCCAGTTTTATTTTTTATATTTGAGTTTTCGTACCATTTTTTTCCGTCAAGTGTCTCTGCTTATGATTTCTTATTTGAGTGTATATATTTTCATTTTTTCCCAATAAAAATAGATACTTGATTAGAAAATTTGTATAAATACAGAGACTAAAATTTTCATTACCTCATCAATTAACTACTTTTATTCGTTGTAACACGTTAATATTCTCCCACATAAGTCAGAGAAGCCATTGTGTTATATTTTACATTTCCTTATAATTTTATCACTATGAACGGTGCAAGTTGCGATGCTTTCCGGTCAATCATTCTGATTTTTGGAAGTAAAAATAATGCGCTCTTTACTCTTGTAATTATTCTATATATTACTGTTTATCTTTTATGAGCAGGGAATTAAGGTTTTGGTTTAGCATTGAAAACCCTACTTAGTCTTAATCTATATATCCTTCTATTTATACACCTGTCCATCGTAATCTGAATACTTAAAGTGTGAAATCATTCTGGCCCTCATTTTAACGAAGAGCTTTTGTCTTATACACAGAAGTTGCTTGCATTTTACCAACTAGCCAACTCGTGTGAAGCTAACGATACTTCGTATTTATTACTGGATTTTCCCTTAGAGAGGAAAAGCAAAAAACTACATTACATGATACAAATTAATTTGTATATATTTATATACTATAAAGCACTATCAACTTAGGGCATTGAATTAACCAGAGCACAAACGTGTCTCATCCTTGGATTGGAGGCAACGTATATATATTATCTGATTTTTTTCCCTCTAATTTAATGGTAAATTAAAGAAACAATCAACCAACGAGGCTGAGAGATTATGAATTGATGATAGAAAATCATGAAGTGCCTCTTCATGGGGTTCTTTTAATGGCAAGGGGTCATGCACCATCTGCCAACCAACAAAAAATGCTGCATTCTCATTCTGAATGGGTCGTGCAGGCCGGCCAAGAATCAAGAAACCAGAATTTTAAACGTTTACACCCTCATTCTTATTAGAAGAACAATTAAATGTAGTATTCTCATTCTGCTGAGTAGATCAATATCAGATTTACACGAGTTTTTTTTTATTCAATGATGAACGAGAGTTTTTCCAATATTGTTGCAGTGCAAAGATTTTATTCTGTACAGTTAATACTTCAGCAGCAAAACAAGTTACAACTATTAATATCACCCCTACAAGAGATCGTGCAATGGCCGGCGCCAAATTTCAAAAATGCTGAGTAAGTCATATGTATGAAAATACTCATTGAAGTTTCCTCTGATCTTTCTTCTGAGAATGCTCCATTTACGCGTGCCATTAAGCGTAAACATCGCCGGATTCTCAGATAGGTAGGACTTTGGGATATGGCATCATGGACTTTGGTTTTTCTTCATTACTCACACAGTGATCATTAGTGAAAAGTTAAATGTATTATTCACTACAATATATTATGGTAATGTTTCATAAGGTCTTCGTAGAAATATGGAAATTTTTGGGTTTTGTTCCCAATCTTTGTTAATGTTATTTTCTTATCTTACTGCTCATGGAGTGGGGACTTTCGTTATCTTTTTTTTTTTTTTTTTTTTTTTTACACAACATGGATCTTCGCCAGAAAGTGTTCACTTCCCTTTAGCCAGGTTTCATTCGCGGATTGGATGATGGAAAAAAATAAGCATGCCCCTTTCCTTGATATTCTATTAGTAAAGAGCGAAGTGGACTGTAACTTGTGAAATGGTTGGTAAGATCAGGCCAAAGAAGGTCATAGCACTGTAGATTCGTTCCAATGGTTCGATCCTTCCCAGCAAAACGCCGCGTGTTCGAATTCTGACCGCACAATCTGCATAATGTGATTATAAAAGTAATTTTCTACCTTGGAAATTACAAACAGGATGCTAGCATTAATGTCTTTGACCTGGCAACTATGCAAGACCATAGCATACTGTTTAAGAATCAGTTAGCTGCTTTGTTTGCAGGAATAATTAGTTACTCTATACTGACCTAGAAGACCTGTGTGACTTCAAGTCATGAATGCAGACAACTTTAGACAAATAATTATACAAGGTTAAAATTAACTGCACCTTAATCCCAGTATCCTGTTACGATATATATGAAGGATCAACACCATGTATAGTACCTTAAGTAGTCTATCTATCTATGTTGATACGCATGGTATAAAGTTAGAACATTTAAACAATCCCCCTTGAAATGAAATGATCAAGGAAATCGTGTTTGCGTTTGTTGACAGATTGATGTGATGGTTAACAGTTGATTAAGATTGGGTTATTTCAAGAGAGAAATAGATTCTAAGTTCAAGGAGCACTTGGTAGCTAGGTTTTGAGGACTAAAATTGGAGGAGACAAAGAATCCAGCAAACAGATATATTGTCTGGTTCCAGGTAGTTTTGAGAATGTCAAGACTCATCTCTCCACGACCTTTAGCCGTCCTTTAATCCATGTCCTTTTCATCCTGTTTAATAAAGTTCCTTTTGTATTATCATATTCAACAAGAACCTCCCACGTCTATCTATTGCCAGGTGTGATTCTCTTCATTCATCCTCTACCAAATCTCACTTTCTCTCAACCTGCAGCCTAAAATAATTCAACAGTTATCCTAAACAGAAACACAGTTTAAGTCCCTTAAACAGTATTTTTTAGGCTTACAATCATTCTCTTCATGTGTATTTTAAGTTTAAGATTAAGGTGTTAATGAAAGGTTCCTGAATATTTTAGTTCCACAATTGCTTGTTTTAGGTCCTACAGATGAGTTGTACATGGCCCCATTGCGGACTGGTCTCAATTGGTTACAAAGAATTGAGACCCTTTCATATGCTAATAATTGCTAATAATGAATTCAGATATTGTTACACAAGTGAAGTCAATGCCTGTCTCAACATTTTTCATTTCTGCTGCGTATATATATATGTCATCTTAATCCTGTTTCCTTTCAAGCTTGGTGCTAATCGAGCTCTTCTAACAGTTAACACTCAAAAACATAAACGCCCCTTTCTCTAATTAATAGGCTACCAAAAACAAAACCGAAAAAACAGAGATGGAGTCTATTGGAGCCATTGCAGAGGGAGAGTGGAGTTTTCTTAGTGGAATGCACACAAGTGAGGAGGCTGATTTCATGGCACAGTTGCTTGGTAACTGTCCTCCTAATCAGGTTGATTCAAGTTCAAACTTTGGAATTCCATGTAGTTTTTGGCCTAACCATGAGTCAACAATGAACATGGAAGGAGGCAATGAATGTTCATTTTATTCTTTGGATATTGGTAATACTAATTTGTACCATTTTTCACAAGGGAGTAGTAGTCATAGTGGTGGTAGTAGCATTCTTTTTCCCAACTCAAGTCAAGAAAGCTACTACCTGAGTGAATCTCAACCAATTTTGGCTAACAATAATAGCTCCATGTCAATGGATTTTTGCATGGGAGACTCATATCTCGTTGAAGGCGATGATTGCTCAAACCAAGAAATGAGCAATGGAAATGTGGAGGAGTCTGGTGGAAACCAGACTGTAGCTGATCTTGCTGAAACCAATTTGCAGCCCAAGAGGGAATCAGAGATGCCAGCATCTGAATTACCCCAGGAAGATAAAAGCAGCAACCCACCAGAACTTTCCAAGAAAAGAACCCGAAATTCTGGAGATGTAAGTACAATAACAAGCGTTTACCTCCTTAGAATCTGCTACGTAAGTAATCGATTTTATTTTTTCAAGGCACTGTCTTATTATGATTCTAATGATGTAGGCACAAAAGAACAAAAGGAATGCAAGGTCAAAGAAGAGCCAGAAGGTTGCCTCGACTAGCAACAATGATGAAGAAAGCAATGCTGGCCTTAATGGGCCCGCCTCAAGCGGTAGCTGCTCAGAGGATGAATCCAATGCCTCGCATGAGCTCAATGGAGGAGGGAGTTCAAGCTTGAGCTCGAAAGGGACTGCAGTTCTCAACTCAAGTGGAAAAACAAGAGCCAGTAGGGGGCAGCCACTGATCCCCAGAGCCTCTATGCAAGGGTAACCACCTTTCAGTGGTTTTGCACAGTACTTCAATTGACTCGATTTGATGCAACAGTGATTGATAGATCTTCTTTCGTGTCTTGCAGAAAAGAAGAGAGAGAATAAATGAGAGGCTGAAAATTCTACAAAACCTTGTCCCCAATGGAACAAAGGTATGAAGTACATTTCATGACAACATCTCTGCTATTATCTGTCTATAAACTTTGCGATTCGCAGAATTCTTAAGATTGCTTTATTGATATGGCAGGTGGACATTAGCACAATGCTTGAAGAAGCTGTCCAGTACGTGAAGTTTTTGCAACTCCAGATTAAGGTAAGAGCAAATCAAAATCCTCCTTTATAAGTAAAACTGTACATATACCTATTTTAAATTCGGTAATATTTTGACATGAAACAAATATTCTGATAAATGTTTTATTTTTCTTTCTCTTCTTTTAAATTCTGCAGCTGCTAAGCTCTGATGACTTGTGGATGTATGCTCCTATTGCTTACAATGGGATGAACATCGGTCTTGATCATCTGATGGTTTAACACGCGACGAAGATAGTAGAAGTTAAGAGGAGGGTGGTGCTTTTGATTATTTCTGTTAATAGCATATATGATAAGATTAAAATAAAGTCATTGCCACTTTGTAATGGTTTTATTTCGCATGATTATACATAGTTTTCCTCTTATAAAATTAATTCACGAGGAGTAATCATCGTGAAGAATTCTTTCATGTAGACACCTTGACAAGATGGGCATTATTCGAGCAGAGTTTATTCTTGAATATAAAAGTTTGTCCATAAGAATATACATGAACTTGGTTATACAACAGTCATTTTCAGTTGGTTGGCTTATTTTATGATATCCAAACCAAAGAATTTGATGATCTGTGTTGGCATATGATTTTGCTGATATGTTAGTACATATGGCTAAATTCAACTGATGTTTTTATCTTCCATGAACATGACTTTTTACATCTTAATGCAATAAGGATTGCATATAATAAAGAAAGGTGCGTTCTGTTTTATACAACCAAAATGAATTTCCCAACAAAATCTTTAGGAAAAAAGATTTTCAAGGTTAAGCCTCTTGTCTTCAGGACAAGGCAGCAGTGTAACAATATAAAAGGAAGTGAAATGGATAAAACCCAATATAAACGTTCCTGATCATAATCAACTTTAACCAAAAAGACATTTCAAATTCTAACTTAATGCTCCTTTTATTTCCCACCACCTCCCCTTGTTAGAAACTATTCCCATCTTAGTTTCGTTTGCTTTAACGCATAAAGCAGCTTGCCAAAATGATCTTTCTGTCACGTTCACCAGTTAGCTGACAGATTAATTTTACTTTTTGTAAAAATATGAGTAGCTTGATTGTGAGATTTATCCAAATAAATTGCTTTGCGATGAAGTACGCACACCGAAGTCCATGGGCTGACAGCTCCCTTTTCCAGGCCGAATAAAGAAGCTGGAGACCAGACCAGCCACCGCCCGTTTAGGCTTCCAACTCCTACATATTATCGATCATTTATATCACGTACAAATTACAAACCACTGGTTAATGCTCACGGTTTCCTCTCATGCACATGATTTCCTACTTGCGGCCTGCCATTTGCAGCTCGCAACGTCCTAGACGGTGTTAGGTTATCCTTCCGGATGATTCTGACTGTAAATCGAAGGGAAGGGAAGGAGAAGAGAAAATGAACAGACATAAATCATCAGGTGGCAATGGCAGCTTCACCTGGCAAACCGTATTAGAACAAGGCAAGAATATTTCCAACACAAATTTGATCATCCGTACAGATGAAAGGGGTTAACTCTCATTAAATTAAAATAAAAAGGCAAAAAAAGGTCAGCCCGTCCAAAAGGGATGGATCAGTTACAGGATAAGCATAAATTAAGTGCAACAAATTTAGGGACGGGAACAAAAATTCTTGAATGTTACAGCCAAATCCCTTACTATCTGCCTCAAATCCAATCCCTACTTCAAGTGTAAGATTTTATAGTCCTAACAAACGAAGTACAATTTCTAATCTGAAATCTTTATTGTCCATGTACACAGGTGTAAAATCCACGCTGAAAACCATTGAACGGATAAAGAAGGGCAATCGTAGAACCACTTCGACACTGCTGTTACTCGCAACCTTCAAAAGAGAAATGATGGGACTTTTGTCTCCTTTAAGCCCGCTCATCATTGACGTGGTTTGGAACTTCTGCTTGACTGTCCAGAGGCATGTACTGTGCCATGATGGCTCTTATCTCCGAATCCATGTATGACTGCCAAAGCAACAGAAAAGGAGGAAAAAAAAACAAAAACAAACAAACAAAACAAAACATCAACTGCAACGCAAGTATAACAATGACATATGCATAAAACTTTAAAGATAACATGTTGCTCGGAGCAATCCAGACTCATTTAAATGTAAACTCTAATTGATCTGGCTGCTTGAGGTTTTCTAACCAAAGCTTCAACCCAGAACCCAGAAGCTTCAGTCAAAACAGCCCATAGATTTGATTTGGTTGACTTTGGGGCATTCAGGGATAGCCAACCCATATGGAGCTCTCCATCCCATCCTAATGACGATTTACACTAAATTCACCACAAGTGGTAAACATAGTTAACATACTATTCTTTCCACCATTTTCAAAATGTTCCAGCTCCGCCAACTTTCGAAGAAAGTTGTAAGGAAATGAGGTATAGACTGCTTCACAAGAGATCCTAAAAGTAGTAGCAGATGGCCCAGCTAAAGCAGTGTATTGGAAAGGAACTTTGCAGATAATCCTGTTCTTTTTTGCATAAATAGCTCTTCTAGTCTTCTAAGGGCTTAAAACTGCAACTCTAGGTTACAAGCCCACAATATTACCATTGCTTCAGATAGTGGCCCTCAAAAGTTGCATAGAGATTTTTATTATAGAGAGAACACCGCTATTTCAAATGTTTATGCAATAGACAGATGTCTGAAGTTAGCCAAAAAAAAAAAAAAAATGTTTTGAAAGAGAGAAAATGCTGGGCACCATGCTTACCCTCAATCTATATTTGTAGACAAGATATCCTCCACCAGCAGCCATAGCCAGGCCTATCAAAATTACCCAAAACGCAGCCCATGCTGATTTCCCTTCAGTACCGCTCTTACCTGATATTAATCATGGGGACGACATCAAAACAAGAACCATATTATTGCACGTTTCTAAACAAACAAGCAGGGAGGTATAGTTTCTAACTCACTTATGCAGGTATCATGGTCTCTGATATACAGAAGATCCCCACTACAAGAGCATTCATAGCTTCCCCAAGTATTTTTGCAACTACATGCAGAGCACTGACAGGCTTTTCTCTCTTTGCACTCATCAACATCTGCACAGTCAAAGACAAGTAGATGGAACAAAATGTTAATCAGCAGCATTGACAAACATACAGGTATCAACTGTAGTCAAGGAGAAAACCCAAAACCATTGACTTAGCAGGTTGGATACTTAAAATATTGTTAACCAAATCAGTATAATTGGAGCATCCTGATGGCCCAAGCACAAATAAGTTTTAGAAATTAAAACATTTGCCTTATCCCACAGGTGATTTATAAGCATGGCCCCACTGCCTGGGGTAACATAGATGTACTAACTTGAATACAAGGGATTTAGAACGCTTCAGCTTAGATTTGACCTGAGTGAAATGGTGCCTGAGAAATCATGCATAAACCAAAAAGGAACACCCTCGCAAAGGTGAGTACTAGGTACTCATGGGTGACTGATAACTAAGTAGTACCATGAGGGAAGAGATAAAAGGCCCAACTTCAAAGCAGCATGACAAGAGTCAACAGGTATCAAACAAGTGCCTGTCAAAGGATGAAACAATGACTCGGTCTTTTGGTGTATGGCTGTACGTCCTTAAAACCTAACAGTTGTGCGTTATTTCGACCAAACATGGCCTGTTGTTCTGCTTGTGACTTACACCTCAGGCACAATAACATTCTCAGTAGACTCAATTTGCATGCATGATCATTAAATTTCCTTTCAGATTGAATCATGCTCTCCATCCTGATAAAAGCACAATATTAAGCATGACAATGGAGGAATCACTTACCTACACAACTTTTCACACCATCACCTTTAAATCCTGGAGGACACTGGCATTTACCACCATCAACATCCTGTCCACAGTAAACATTAGAAACTGGAATATTTACTGGAGAAATAACAAGTTGCGAAACATGATGATTACTAACCAAACAAGCAGAGAACGTGTGTCCATCCTGGGATTGATGCCAACAGCCTCCATTGTTTATCTTGCACCTCCCAGATCCACTCACTGTAAAACAATATAGTCAATTTTAAAGAATAACACCCTAAGATGTTGGTAAACAGATTTAATTAGAAAATAACATAAGTTGCCCCTTATGATGTGTGCAAACACATCTAATGCTAACATCTGAGAATTAAACATCAAGCACGAATCCTCAAAAAGTACAGTTAACATTGGGAACATGCTTAACAGAGCAGATCCACTAAACATTAGGCCAGAATACACCGTGTGTAACGTTAAATAGCTTAGGCAGTAAATCTATTGCTGTTGACTCCAGAACCTACGATCAAATCCTACTCGAGAGTTATTTTCAAGGGATGGCTAGAACGGCTATTGGAAACCACGCTACCCCACCCATCCCACTGCTCCCCAAAAAGATAAAGATTAAAGAAAACCCACTCAAACATTTGATACCGGTTGACTTGGTTTGGAACTTTTGGCCCCGTCAACCCACCTTCCACCTGAAAACCCTCATACAATGTGTTGTCTCTTATGTAGAGGTCAGATTCATGCACCATCTATGGAACTAAATATTCTTTTTGGCGCCATCTCGTTATTCTACTCAATACAAATGTAATCACTAAAGGAATTTTGTTTTTCTAATAAAAGCCCACAATTGTCCATCTTTCAGACATTTATTTATTATCAACAGGAGGACAGGAAATCCAAGCTTTGCTGAAATTCTATATTATTGCATTTTTCATAAATTAAAAAAAGAAGCATAAACTCACCTTCACAGTGGCTGTAACCATCTCCTTTGAACTGCACACCATCGACAAGAGGGCACTCACATACTCTCCCACGAAATGTGTCCTGCATGGATAAAAGCAATCGTCAAATGGACCTAAAGATATCAGAAGCCAGAGAATGAGGCCGCACAGCAAGTTTTAATTCATACCCTGCAGGCTGTAATGTTGGCTGCTTTATCTTGCCAACAACCCCCATTATTGTCCAAGCACTCATTTGTCTCCACATCTGTATCAACAAGATTCCTCAATCAGGAACTACTGTTGAGAGTACAGAAGACACCCAAGGCAGCTAACACTAGATGTTAGTCTCAGCAGGTGAGGGTATTCGACCAGTGATCTAAAATGTAATATGGTTCAAGATCTAGCATGCTTTCAGTGACCGCTAACAATAACAAGCACTGAAATCCTCTTTGGCAGGGTCACTCATCATTTCATCAGATGATGGCCTCAATATCAAAGGGCAATCAGGACAAATGGCATAAGAGAACTTACCACCACTCAAACAAACTGCTGGCTCTGTTGTTTCCTCAAAACCAGAGCATATGGCCTTTAGAACAGCACCTTTCTCCAACTTTCCTGAAAGCACACGTTTTTCTTCCTTCAAAAATAAATAAATAGCCAAATGTAACTTTTCATCCAGGAATAAAAGCAGACAATAACAGACCTCGATATTGACGATCGTTGACAACAAGGGTGGGCAATATGGTTACATCACCCCTCGATCCTTTTCCAACCTACATGAAGGTCTTTGTCAAGCAGCGATATATGGTTGAACTGATATCAGAGATTACTATGATTGCAGAGAGGCACAAATGTCCAAACTTACAGCCTTAAAGTGTTATGCTAAGCCAAAGAATAAGAATAACAGACAATCACCTGGGCATCTTGCTCTTCTTTCAAAACAGGATTGTCAGAATCAGCATTTGGGTCTCCCATACACTTATCAATCTTTTTACTATCAAGCCCTGAAGAATGACAAGTGAAACAGCATGAAACATTCAAAACTCTTTCTTTCTTTTTTTTCATTTTCTAGTGTGATCAATAATATCCTTAAAATAAGACGAAAAAATAATGAAATATTTACCAAGAGATTTGATTACAGCATCAGCACATTCTTTGTTGTACTTTTTCTCCTTCATGGGACATCTGATTTGAAAATCAGTTACATAATCCCACCACACCCAAGGCTTCTTGGTCTCATTTGCCACTTTAAAAACACATAGCTGTCTTAAATTTTCAAGAACAACATCTTTCCCATCATAACCTGAGCTGAAGTCTTGTTCAGGATCAGGAGCACAATATCTTCCATGATTTATGCACTGCGACTTGCACTGCCTGCTCAAGGTGAATGATTGAGGGCAATACCAAGTAATGTAATGGGGTGTAAACTGAGTGTAACCACCTTTCTCGAGTATCTGTGCTGCACCCCTAAAATCCTTCACGAATTCCATCAACATATCACACTTAACCCCACATTCATCATTGCTGTTGGTCCATAGCTGATACTCCACACGATCATCTGGGTGTGGAACAGCTTCTCTCCAATCAAGATTCACATTTACCATATCCCCATTGCTAAGTGCTTTCTTTAATGTTTCACCAAAACTTTTCTCAATAAGAGCAGATGGTATTGTTATGTTCTCAATGTACTTTGCAGATGAACCATCCTCTTCAGGTGTGTCCATGGTTATTAATGGTTCCTCCATGTTATCCGCAACAAGCACTGCAGAAGCCCCAGCCTTCTGGGCATTCCAGACCTTCAAAGCGAAGAAGCAATCTGAAAAGCAATCAAATGAACTAATTATAGATTTAGCATGACAAACTATGTTGGTAATCTCAGAGGGATGTAGTTCAAGAAGAAAGTCTTAAATCCACCAAAATCCACATCTCAACGAATGATGATTCCTTAACAGCATATGCAACATAAATAGCTTAAATACCATGGGACAATCAAGTTGCAACATGTTCAGACTTTTGTAGCTTGTTCCAACAAAACCCAAAGTAAAGAATCACAATATTCAACACAGTACAATAATTTCCAACACAATGGAACCAGGAGACCGTTGGTATGCTGTGCAAAATGCCTTAGAGGAGCTAACATTAAAATAAAATAAAATAAATCCAGTGCTTCGTCTATCATCCAAAACAAACCAATCAAATAAGGATTTACTTAACGGCAGCATAGTTAACTCACACACTACCTAAAAAGAACTAAAATTTCAGCAACATCTGAAACAAATGGAAACCTCCTTAAACCTCTAAACTTCCTGAATAGCTAAAATAAGCAAATGATCCTAATCAAACAAGGGTGCCTTCTCAACAACCTAAAAGAGAAAACCCTCAAATAATCCAAAAACAACGGGAGGGTAACTCCCCAATCAATCACAAACAACCCAAGTATACCTCAAAACATCAGAACAACAGTCAAATTAAGCAAAAATAAATAACTCAGCAAAATTAAAAAGGCACAACTTGATAAAATTAACAAAAGGGCACCTCACAATCAACCAAAACCAAACAAAAACCACGAATCTTAGAAAAACCAATCAAATTAACCTCAAAACCACAAAGGGTGTCTATCCAATCAAGCAAACCTAGAACAATCACACACACACAACGAAAAAAAAAAAAAAAAAGAAGAAAGAAAACAAATTGACTAAAAATATCAAAAGGGTACAAACCTCCACGATCCACCAAAACAAAAGTGGGTAAAGCACCAGGCTTCGACTGAAACGAAATCCCAAACTCATCAAACTCTTTACAACCCTTCTTATCATCTTTTGGATACACAACAGCACCTGCCATACTACCTCCATATTGGGGTATCCCAAAATTCCCAATTGCACTATCATAAGTACCCTTTATTTTATCTGGTGATGTAACCCTCAAGCTATTTTTTTCAACAACAAATCTAGCTATAGAACTTGGTACTATCAAAGAAATTAACAAAAACCCTAAACAGAGACTCAAAGATGGTCTCTTTAGCGCCATATTTTTATCAAAATGGGTTAAAGATGGAAATTGTTTATGGGTTTTGCTTGTTTTGATCTATAAATGGAGCTTAAGCAAAACAACTTTAAGACTTTGAATGCATAATCAAAAAATCAAAGGTAGGTTTTATTTTAGGTTTTGTAGGAAATGAAAAGGAAATCAAAGAAAAAGTTTGGCTTGCTTTTATTGTTGGGTTCCTCGTCGACAAAGGAGAGGAAGAATCATAGAAATACTACAGATGCGTGTGAGTGGGGGAGTGAGATTTTCTTTGTTTTCGACTTCTCGGTTTTTTCTTGTCACTCTATTATGTATGTCATTTGTTTATTATAATAAAACTTCATATTCAAGTCGTGTGCCAAAAAGAAAATTATATTAAGTAATTGAAGACAAGAGTAATAATAAACATCAACGTCTATGAATCCATGTGATAAGATATGATAATGTTTTATATTGTCAAGTTTTATTAAAAAAAGAGCCAAAATATTTGTGACATAATCAAATATTTATTTATTTTATTTGTAAAATAAATTTGTTCTAATTTATGCATATCAAAACGTATTTTTCTCATATGTTGACACTTAAATGTGTGTTTTATCACATATATTTTTATGTTGTTTGAATCTTAGACGGTAATATAAGAAATTTATTCCTTCAACACATTAATTGGCAATGTTTTCTTTTAACAGGATAAAAGTATTATCAAATTAATTCGAATGTCAATTCATATTAATTTTTTCTTTGATGATCTAAAAAATATATAACTTTAAAAAATAAATACGTTTTCTTAATAGTGACCTTCAATGTTTAGAATCATCCCATTAAAAATAAATAATAATAATAAAAACAAAGAAAAGCCTCTAATTAACGATCAACTCTCTTGATATTTAAATTAAACAATCAAGATTACAGGATCTAAGTCTCACAACTATTATAGTTTTACCAAATAGTCAACACTTCACACGTTTTGACGGACACCTGACGCTCAATTAGGTTCAAATCCACTTAGAAAAAAAGGATTGCGATCCTAGTCGCATAAAAAGTGTGTTTTTTTTTTTTTTTGGGTTATGGATACAGGAGAAATTTTGTTATTGGATAAGAAATTCCCTCTTTTGGACATGCAAAATGATGAGGTTATTTCTTATGCTCAACTGGATCTAACACGAGTTTGTCTCAAAAGTTTGAGACAGATATTTGGATAAACAAAGGATCAACATATATAATTGGCAATACGAATTTGAGTTTATCTTTTTTTTTTCTTTTTTTTTTAAGTTTGTCTTAAGTTTATAGACATCAGTTAGCACTTTTTGTCGGTTTCTATTTTAGTAACCATAATAAATTACCAAATGTTTTAGGAGAAGCAATTAAAAAAACAAAAGAAAAATGAGAACTACTGGCATCTGTGTTCCACGAACACAGGTAAGTAGTTAAGGGGAAAGAATTTCTAGCCATATACAGCAGATGCCTGAAAAAAAAAAAAAAAAAAGATTTTACAGCCCAAAAATAACTGATACGTAACAAGTGTCCACAATCTGAATAAGTTTGGCTTCAGGCAATAAAAAGAGGTTATCTCATCTCATAATGACACGACAAAACTGTCCTTCCCATTTTGCCTTTCATTAACTCAATACATAAATTTTCCAACTACAATTTTCTCATCTACATACCACACACCTTGATGTAGAAAAGGATGTGCTAACCCAATAATTAAATTAATTCTTTCATATATAATCAAAGATGGTCCATCCATACCAGCACACTTCTTGGCTCATCTACTTCCCATTTTATCATAATTAAAAAAAAAAAAATAGGCATTTAACATGTGCTTTTTTTAATGAAAAAAGGGGTTACTTTGGAGATGCATTGGCCATTTGAATGAGAAAGTTCATTATTGCTCATTAAATATTACTACTACTATTAATTAGTCATTAGATATGTTAATTAATGAATAATATTTTTAATAAGAAAGTTCATTCTTGAGGGTGAGAGATGAAGTAATATTTTTTCACTAGGTATTTGATCCATCTTCTGTAGGCCCGTTACCGTTTTTTTTTTAATATTACTATTAATTAACAGCTTCTTCATTTTTATTTATTTTTCCACATTAAGAAAATGGTGACGTTTAGAATTTTCGGTGTTCTAGCGCTTCTAGACCACTCACTTCATCGGCCAGTCGTCACGAGTTGACCACGTCGGATTACCTGCCCATATCACCAATCATGAGTCAGGATGACAAAGCACAGCCAATCTTAGAAGGACATTTCATTCCTTATGACATTTATGATTCTGGACTGTTCCAACGATTTACCCCCTTGTTTGAATATTTTCTCTTGAGAAAAAAAAATATATATTTTTCACTTGTTATTTGAATAAGAGTAGAAATGAAAGAAAAAAATATATTTTTCTTATTTGGATAATTATAAAAAGAGAGAGGAAAAAATATATATTATTGTATACTTACTATAATACTCTTATGATTATATTTCTATATTTAAATACTTAAAATAAATTTGTATGAATATTTTTTCATGAAAATAACACAAATGATAATAAAATAAAAATTATGTTGTGGATGCCAACAATCCAACACACGAAAATATGTTTAGCCTTTTTTGTTTTTTAATAATAATTTTTATTTCTTCTTTTGCGGTAACTCCAAAAAACGTTCGAGGGTCTGTTTTGGTGAGGTTTTTGGGTGATTTTGAATCTGATTTGGGGTTGTTTTTGGAGCTGCTTTGGTGGTTCAAATGACCTGTCCAAAGGAGTTGCTATGTAAGGGTTTTGGGGGTCTGTTGGTAGCAGTTTCAAGGCTAAGTTTGAAGGCTTTGGGTAGGTGTTGAGTCTATTTTGAGGTTGGTTTTAGGCCAATTTTTTGAGGTTTTTTTTTTTTTTTTGTGGTTTTGAAGCTGGTTTGAGGGTGTTTTGGAGCTGATTTGGTGGTTCAAATGACATGTCTAAAGGGGTTGCTCTGTAAGGGTTTTTGGTTGAGTTTGGGGGCTTTAGGTAGGTGTTGGGTTTGATTTTCTTATGTAATTATAAATCCTAATAGATGTCAAATTTTAGATGGCAATGGATGCATTCACACGCATTACCCACGATCCTATCAATTAAGCCGGATAAAAAAAATTAATTACAAATTCATTTCCTCTACATGAGTAATAACTCATGGCCACTCGCTTTACGTTATTACGTTTTCAAAGTCTGTTTTTCTCTTTGTGTGTTATTGCGGGTAAGACCTTCATTTTTCGGTTATATGAAATGTTTATGCTTGTTGTTTTCAAGGGATCCTATTTTATGTCTTTGTTTTGGGAGCTCACTTTTGTTTTAGGTGTTTTGGGGTGATCCAAATAAGCTGAATTTCAATCTACATTAACATGTTGCATAAAATCGCAACCAAAGGTAAGAATCAATAAATTGCCAAATTTGAAGCTCCAAATAAAGCTGTTTTGTCGATTTTACTAGTTGAAGCAAATTTTGTTTTTATTCCTTGTCATGGCCCTTCCTTTGTGCTCATAATCATATCTACATAGAATTTTTAAGGATACAAGGAAGACTTAATTAGGGACTAAACTTTCAATGCCGGAGTTTCTTAGAGGCGACCGTGGTCATATCAAGTGTGATATGTTAAGTTGCTAAATAAAACGGCTAAATGGCCAACAACAAAAGTTTCACAAAGATGGAGGAAGCATCAAGCATTGAGCCAATAAGATAGGTTTGTGTTGATTGCCACACCAATCTCATCCTCCTTTCTTCGACGTATTGATCCAATGTTTCTCCAATTTCTTGCACCATTATTTACCTCCCATTTTCTTCTTGAGCAACTTTACGCATCTTTTGGGTCAAGGATCTAGCAAGCGCAATTGCATCTTCGATAGGCTGCTGAGCCTCCACGGCCAAGGAATGGTCCCATTATATACATAGCATCCCCGACCACTATCACACACCCTCTCTTAAATCTGCCTAGTAGTATGTCGCATGGTGCACGGTATCTCGAGTGTGTGAGAGACATCGAAGCTAGCTCATAATTCACGACCATTTCTATTCTTTCACTTGGAAATTCTTTGATGGCCTCTACGGAGAATTGTCCGATGAGCTCTGGATCTTCGAAACCTTTGAATCTGTTGTACAAAAAAATTAAATTAGTTAATTACGGTTGCTTTTGGTTTCGGAACAAGAAGTAATAAACAAATAAACACCATTAGCTTAACCAAATCAATGCAATTAGCATGAATTTAAAGTGGTAAGTGCTATTTTCTCTATTAACCAAATAATATGTCCTTACGTTTGACTAGATAATACAACTTAATACGTACACGTAGGATAGAATCTCGAAACAATGAACCGGAAGACCGAACTTATCATCAACGGGAATTTTAGGCCTTTTAATATGAACTATAATATATAATTTTGAAAAAAAAATTTTGCCCTCGCTAACGCTAGATCAAACACAACCCATCAATTGAATGACAAAGAACAAAATCAAACAACACATTACCTACCCTCGCTGACGCTAAAAACTTTGGAGGAGGCTGCGAATGGGTGTAAGCTTCGGCTGCTCGAAAACACCCGAGGAGACGTTTTTGTCGGATGAACTAGGGAGGAAAGAAAATTTCTTATGCAAATGGATTAACTAATGCAAGGTTCAATAACTTGATTTGCGGATCCGTTGTTAATGTGAAAGGATTCACGAGGAAGAGATGATCACGAGAGAAAGAACGCAGAGAGAGAGAGAGAGAGAGAGAGAGAGATTTAGGGGTTGCGGATACTGTTACCTTATGTTTGTAGCAAATGAAAGGGACGAAAAGGGCAAAACTATAAAAAACAAAAAAAATACGTCTCACGTTTTTCTCCCCGTTTCCTCCCAATTTTGGGAGGAAAATGGGTCCCACTTGTTTCTACATTGTTTTTTTTCTTTCCACTGATTTCCTCCATCTACCCAAACGATGAAAACTTTTCTTTTCACCCTCATTTTCTTTCCTCTCTCCCACTTTCCTCCCTATCCAAACACGGGGTTAAGGTATTGGATTATTATCGTCCTCGTGTTTTGATGGTGGACCCCAAAACTCGATTTTTTACCTATAGCCTATAGGCTATAGCTAAGTGGTGGGGGCGAGTATTGGCATCTTTACATTGGGTAACGCTATATAATTAAGGGGCGAGTTCGTTTTGCTTAAAATAGTATACGATTGGAAAATATTTTACCGATAAAACTTTTTATATAGAAATTTTCATACAATGTTAGATAAGTGATGGTTTGAAAAATATTGCGATTATAGGATGATGATGATGATGGTAGTGATGATGGTGGTTATAACGAAGGTAAAGAAGGTGACGATGACAATTAAATGATTGCATTTGTGATGGGGATGGTGGCAAAGTTATGGTAATAATTAAAATAGTTATAAGATAGCTAGAATGAATAATCATCTGTAAAATATTTGATAGAATTTAATAAGATAACTATAAGTGAACTAAATTTAAAAATTTACTCGTAAAATTACTAATAAACTAAAACGTGATTTTTGAACAATGACAATACTTGTTCATCCCCTCACAAATTATTGTTCACTCTATTTTTTTTTTAACTCAAATTGTGGAAAGCATTCATGCTTTTGGCATTTTGCTTGGGACTTGTTTTCATTCCTCCCGGAACCATGCTTAGACATTTATTTTATTTTCTCAAAATATTCCATAACAATTGAAAAATTAGAACAAATATTAATAATACTGCTATTACTATTATTGATATTATATTATAATTATTGTTATTGTTATTACTATTACTATACTATTTATCTAAAAATGGTGGGGGATTTGAACAGTGAAAATCATTGTTCACCTCTCGTATAAATCACTATTCATTCATTCATTCTTTTTTTTTTCAAGTTATTTCACTATAAATGTTTTTTTTCCATCAATTTAGGTTATTTGGATACATTCTTATAAAAAAATATATAATTTTAAAACATTTTCTTTTGAATTATTAATTAATATTTTATATTTAAATTATTACAAGTTTTTATTTAAAAATCCATAAATAAAGAAGAATAAATCATTTTTTAAGCAAAAATTTTATGAAAAACACATTAAAAAATATTAATAATTAAATAAAACAAATTAATAAAAAAATATAAAATTTTTAAATTATTTTATTCTCTCTACCCCTAGCGTTGTGCGAATAATTTCAAAAAGTAATATTTTCATCGATATTAAATAAGTATTTTTTTCATTTGTTAATTTTTGTAAAAGTCTCGTCCATTAATTATAATTTTATTTTTTGAAATACAATATTATGCAAATTATATTTTTAAACTTTTTTTAATTTTTGATTAATATTTTAGTTAAAATTATTATATTTTTTATTTTAAAATCAATCCATAAAAAAGAATGATTTATGTTTTTTATTAAGCGAGAAAATTTATAAAAAAATATTAAAAACTTAATTAAAAATTTAAAATGATTTTTTTCCACCGAATGGTAACATAGCGCAGCTTTTTTTACATGTTTTTTTTCCTTTACTTTTTTCCATCAATCTAGGTTTTTTTTTTAATTTAATTTTTTTATTTTCAAGTTATTTCATTTTGGTCTCTAAAATTTTAAAATAAAAATTTTAATCTCCTAGCCGATGCATTAGACATGTCTTTTTTTTCCTTTGTTTTTTTTTTCATCAATTTATGTTCTTTTTTTTTTCATTTGTTAATTTTTGTAAAAGTCTATCCATTAATTATAACTTTATTTTTTGGAATACAATATTATGAAAATTATACTTTTAATTTTTTTTAATTCTTGATTAATATTTTTGTTAAAATTATTATATATTTTTTATTTTAAAATCAATCCATAAAAAAAGAATGATTTATGTTATTGAAACAAAAAATTTATAAAAAAAACAAAACAATTAATTTCAAGTTATTTCACTATACATGCTTTTTCTTTTTTCTTTGCTTTTCTCATCAATCTAGGTTCTTTTTTTTTTTTTTAAATTTTTTGATTGTTTCATTTTAGTATCTAAAATTTTAAAATAAAAATTTTAATCCCTCTAGTCGATGCATTGCACATGTCTTTTTTTCTTTTGATTTTTTTCTTTACTTTTTTTCATCAATTTATGTTCTTTTTTTTCATTTGTTAATTTTTGTAAAAGTTTTTTCATTAATTATAACTTTATTTTTTGGAATACAATGTTATGAAAATTATATTTTAAAAGTTTTTTAATTCTTGATTAATATTTTAGTTAAAGTTATTATATTTTTTATTTTAAAATCAATTCATAAAAAAGAATGATTTCTATTTTTTAAACAAAAAATTATAAAAAATTATTTAAATAAAAATCATAATTAAAAAATTTAAAAATTTAAAATGATTTTTTTTACTGGACCCGCAGCGTAGTGCCGGCAAGTAACTAGTATTTTACTAGAACAAATATATACATTTTTGGTCATATATTATACGCAAAACAAACACATTTTAAGCAACTTATTTTTATTCTTCTACACTTGTTATATATAAATACATTGAAAAACATTATAAGAAGAGAATAAAGAATTAAGAATTCAATCCGGATCAAAATGTTGCAGCCAAGAATTAACATAGAAGTTTCGATAACTACGATCGGCAAATTGGAATTGATAAAACTATTGGGGGGCGATTATTAATTTTTTTTTGAAAAAATCAAACAGCCAACTGCCCCACTTCTCTTGCAAGTTGCAAGTCTCTGCCCGAGGGAACCACACCGTACTCTAGGATGATGTAACAATCAACAAAATAGTAAAAAGGGCGTAATTATAAATAGCTCCTCTAGAGTTGCAAAACCAATCAAACAGTATTTTTATTTTTTAAAAATTAATTAATTAGTCATTCGACCATTATTCATATTTAATTTAATAATAATTTATTATGAAAAATATTTTTTTCATCAAACTTTCTATATTATTTAATATTTTCACTTATTCAACACTACATTCAGTTCAAGAATATTACATGGCGGCAATGGCTTAGGCACCTAGTTTGAGAAATGTTGTTGCTGGTTATAGAAACAGATGAAGCAGTATAGCAAAGATCACGTAGTTTGTACTGGGGTCAAAATGCGTCCCGTGACACTCTAGTTGTGCAAATTGTGCTCGACTGGGATAGAATGAGAACCGCATTTGCTGTGCCAAATAAAGTACTTAGCTAGAGGCAATTTGACTCCACTTAAATAAGGATTTACAGCCACTCAGATAGGCTATAGTGTAATTAACTAGTATGATTAGCTACAGATTAGGTGCGTGGACCTACATGAGTAGGTTCTTTGGGAACCAAAAAAAAGAAAAAAGAAAGGGCAATGAGAATGCAACCTGGATTTAATGGCAAGATTAAAAGATAAACAGCATCATTTGCAGACATTAAGTGTAATATTTTATGCTAGACTGGCTCTGACTTCTGACAAATAGTTATATGAGACTAGATGAAGCACATGAAGGAAGGAGGTCCACACGGTTACTCTGCTGAATTTTGCGACATCTAACAACCCATAATTAGTTTTTCAAACTAGAGTATTTACTCAGTAAAAAGGTGTCAAAGGAAAAGGAGAGAAAAGATTATTCAATTAATCACTTTTCCCTTCAAAGTATGGCACTGTTGGTCATTAGTGGTGTCTCTTTGCTGTCGATCAAAAAAAAAAAAAAAAAGTCTCTTTTTATCAGGAACATTGACCGTGTACTTCAAGTAGCATGAATTGCACACCAAAATATACATGGTAATCCAATTTCCTGTGAGCATACCACCAGGATTTTGTTTTTAAATGTATCCTCTAACAACAAAGTATATATGTGTAGAACTAGAAAAGCAAGTCCAATAAATTAAATGCAAGAGAAGAGCAGTAGAGCAGTATATTATAGTGGCAAAATCATAGTTCTTTCTGTGGAAGAAAGAATGAATTGCTAATCTTGTTGCTAATCAACCACTGGAATCTTGGCAGGTTCTCTCAACATGCTTCAACAGTATCTCATATATTTTGTTCCTCACCCTCCCACAAGCTTCCAATGCGGAATCCTCAAATATGGAACTGTCTCTGCATCTCACAATATCTAACCAGTCATTCACTCTCTTGACCATGAACATCATTTCAGCTACCTGGCTATCAGACTGTCTGGAATTGATTTTGATGCTAACCCAATCTAAATAATCCTCAAGGTTACTCAAAAACCATGTTCTACATTCATTGTGCAAGGAATTTGCTAGTTCAGCACATATTGGTGAAGCACTTCCTTTCACCCAATCTCGATCCTTGTCCATGTCTGGTGTCAATCCAATACACAATTCATCATTGTTTATCTGCTTCCTAACAATCAATGCCCCTTTATGTTTAGCACGAATCGCTTTAGTTGATGATTTTTCTGCACCGCTAGCATCCAGAAAAAGAGTTTTGGTTTTGCTGAGATCAGAAATGGGGTTGAGATCTGATGCCACAGCTGCTTTTATCCACGAAGTGGCCTTTCGCTTTCTGTCCAGTGCGAGTTTTAGTGCTTCCCCAACAGCACCAGGGACATTTTGATCAGCATCATCTGTTCTTAGTTGACTACTACCTGTTAGTGATTGCAAAATTAAGCTGGTATCAGTCAAGTCATCTTGAAGAGTGAGGAATTTGTCAACTGATAGTTGCTGATCCTTTCCTTTCGCCAACAGAAGCTGGGAATATGTGCTGAGAAAAATAAGAAAGGGAAGGTCAGTCTAGTGACTATGGAAGTGGTAACTGATTCAATCACGGCTTATACTTGCTCATGTCTGCCATGAATAGAAGGAAAAGAGGATGAAACAGACTAATAAATAAGTTCATTCCTATCATACAGAAAAATCATCAGGAAGCTTGCAAGTTGCAAGGATAAGATAAGATAATCAAGCGCTAATAGGAACACATACTTTTACCAAAAGAAAGTGTAAAGCAGACATGTTAGGAAGAAATCATATCCAAGAATAATAAGTAGATTATAAACATGCTCAGAATGATGCTCAACAAATGTTGGCAGTTTATGAAATTACACTTCAGAAGCATAAATATATATGTACACCTTAGGCATTTGAGCAATCTCTCAGCAGCAGAAGCCTCTTGCAAAGCTTCAACAGCAGCAAGCAGAGCAATGTCTCTTTGCCTTGACACCTCCTACAGAACATATTAAACCATCTATCAGACAGATAGTCAAGGCAAGTACCAAAAAAGTTTAGCTGCGTATAGCGCAATACCTGGCCAAGTTTCACCAAAGTTGAGGGAAGGAAATCGCATGATATGGTAGTGCCTATTGGGTTCTTATTGTTTAACGAGCTGAAATTCACTTTTCTATTAACAGAATCTTCACTTGTTTTTCCTCGCGCTGAGACGCTACCCTTGCTGGAAATTTTGGAAGATTTTGCACATAAGCTAGCAACTGTTCTTTGCGTTCTGGAGCTTGAATTGTCATCAGAGCTATCAAACCTTAATGAATCGATTGGAGAAATCTGTCCATGAAGAAACCGCACGGAGTTATGCCAATTATCAGAAAAAAGAAGAGAACTTCTGGAGTTGCACAAATTACTAGAGCAAAGCAAACATTTCATTTGACAAAACAGAATTTTATTTTATTGAATTGCATGTTAATTCGGTATTTACTCCTTAAACATGAGTTATTTAGATGGTAACAATCTATGGTGAATTTTAGAAAATAGGCAGAATGCCAATGTCCTCTAAGCATGTGATAAATTTAACACCTATTCGCTCAAAGTTGTTTCACAATTTGTTCCACTCCTATTTATTGGACTTAAAAACATTTCGGATTTCTGATTGTTGAGTTCTAAAATATGCACCCAAGGTAACAGTATTCGGCAATGTGGTCCACTTTGTTCAGTCATGCCTATCCATAATCCATTATTGATTATTCCTGAGAAGACCGTAGTAAAACTTTCAACAGTCATGTCAAAAGGAGCGAAGGAAGAAGTTGAAGAACTCACAGAAACTCTGCTACTGCTATTATCAGGTCCCAATTCCTTCTTGTCAATAGGGGTGTCAGCAATATCATCAACCCTAGTGGCTTCCCTACCATGCCAGCTTCTTCTCTTGAATGTTGAGGATGTAGAGGTGAATGAGATTGTACTTTCCATATCATCATCTTCATAAACACGCGTAGATTTAAGTCTTTCAAGCCCCCTATAATTACTTCCAACGTCACTCTTTTTAGGCCTGTAACCCAAGGCACTTTCAACTTCAATCTTACGAGGCCTGTAATTTGGTGCCCTTCTAGGCATTCCTTCACCTGTTGAGCTTACTTTTGAAGCACTATTGGAGCGAGATCTTAGGACTGGCTTCTTTACCATATCATTACCACCTTGATCAGTAATGCAACTAACGCCCCCAGATTTGCCTGTTCTCTCATTTGGAATTACTTTCGAAGCACTTAAAGATCGAGGCCTTTCTGTTTCTGTCTTCTTTGGTACTTCATTGCAGTCTTCAACTATAGTCTCCAAACTAGATACACCAAGAAATTTTTTCAAAGTATCAATAGAGAGAAGTTCTTTAGGATTCCCATAACATGGATGCCTACCTGGAACAGGCGTAATGCCTCTAAGCGTTGGAACTGGATATGCAGCCTCTAATTTGTCCACGTATATGAATTGCCCAAGATGCAATTTGTCATATAGAATCAATTCATCTTGTTCTTGAGGCAATGAAACATACAATGCATGTGTCATATCAGAAACCTTCAAAAAGAATCCTTGATTAGGCCAAAGATTACCTTCTCTTAACACAGGAATTATACTTCTAATCTGTATCAACACAGGTTTACAATCGCGTATTGTGTTTCCATCAACATCCATTTCTTGAAGAAACTTTACAAGAACCCCAGGTTTCAACTCTGCCATTGTCTTGAAATATAATCGAAGAAACTCAAGATCTTGAAACATAAAGAATGCTATATAGTGTACAAGTCATCGGACTGGCTCTGTCAAACATGAAATGAGTTTCTTCGATCAATGAAACTGAATATCTGAAAACAACAAATAGGTTATTGAAGTTGGATTGTTTTGATCATGAAAATTCAAGAATGAGTGGTTCTAGGCTGTGGAACATCAGGAGGGATCCAAAAGAGGGAAATGATTCCAGTGAGGAATTTTTAGTTTGTTGTCTTCAAATAGACAGTTGGAAATAGTCAAAAGGAATAGATTCTAGGTTTTTCGACTCTTTGGATTGGATTATAGATCTGACTCACAAGCAGTGTTGGCAGTTATGACCGTTATTAGTGATCCATCTGATTGGATGCAGAAAGAAACTATTGTCTATGAACCTGCATAGGGCAAGTAAATTGGATTTCAACGAATTAGATGATGACCCCTTGTCCCTGTCAAGATGGCTGATTTTGGACCCAACTTTACAAACAATTTTTTTTTTAATGGATCAATTTGTACTTGTATAATAGTCTAATTCTATAATATATTCTTATATTTCTAATTGTATCTATTATATTTTTAAATAATATTTAATTTTTTAATTTATCATTTCAATCAATTTTTTTCAATCATGAGTATATTATTTTTATTAAAATATCTTTAATTAAAATGTAAAAAAAAAATAAATTAATTAATATGATATTCGTGTTTTATTTTTGAAGTCTTAAAATTTTTTTTTATGATATTCGTGTTTTATTTTTGAAGTCTTAGATTTTTTTTTGTATTTTAATTAAGAGCATTTTTGGTCAATTTTTTCAATGTTTGAAAATTAATCAAAAAAACAGATTAGAGATTCAAACAATATTTAGAAATATAATATATACAATTAAAAATATAGAGATAGATTTAAAATATGAGCTATTATATAAGAGCAAATTAACCTATTTATCTTCTATTTTTTCAACCATAAGGGATATAATGGGTTAACTTGCGCATCAACTAATTCTTCGGAAGAATTTAAGAGTGTATCATCCACACTAGTGTTAAATATTTATGAAATAAATTTTTTAAAGAACTAGTTCTAGATTAAAACTTACAAAGTCAAGAAACGCTATAGAAAATTAAAAAATATATTGTTGAGTTTAAACAAAGATATTCTTATCACTTTTAATTGATAGAAATGTAAGTTAATTTTTTTTTTATCATTGTGTCAATTTATTTCCTCAAAATAAACTTATATAATAAATATTACTAGTTAATCATGAAATACTCTAAATTTTTTCAATATTCATAACTCATTTAGATCGAGAAAATGTTTTGCGAATCCTGGGGCCTGAATTTTGATCTTTAATATTGTCATTGGTAAATCTTTCTCAGCCAAGAAAATTTTAACAGATATCTTCTTAGCCCAAGAACATCATTTTTATGTCCAATTAATAATTCACTGTATTTTTTAAAAATTATCCGCTTATAGTTTTTAAGAAACTATCGAATACTATATAAAATCAAACATGTTTAGTAAATTTTGAAAAAGAGACGTGTTAATGCATGATAAGAAAAGAGAGAATTACTAGAAAAAATTTATGGATATTTTTCTTTTCAAAACATCAAAAGTAGTGTTTTGCAAAGAAAAATGTTATTTTAGATTTGATAAATTTAAAAATAAATTAATGGATTTTTTAAATGGAAGATTTTTTTTACAGGATTCTTTTGATATTTTTTTCTTATTATAATCAAGTTTAAGTTTTTTTTTTTAATTTCAATAAATATTTTTTTTTCAAATTCTTTGGTGGCTAATCTATTAATATTCCAGTATTATTTTCTTATTACACTAAAAAATTCTCTCTGTAGAAGTATCTATTTCATTGTTCGTTTCGTCAACTAGGGAATTAGCTTCATTACCTAATAGTTATAGTAATTGATGCAATTCAATTGATTAATATTAATGAAATAATAAGACTTATGTTACTCTCATATAATTTAATCCAAAAGGTACCATAGAAATAAGACAACAAAAGTCATGTATGATTATAAATATTAGTAATCTCTTAAATCCTAATATGCAAAAAAAAAAAAAAAACATCACTAGTACTGGTATTTAAGTAATTGAAACTTAGCATTTTTTATCAAGCAAATTAAATTAAATTACACAATGAATTTATATCATATGTCGGAGCATTAATTAAATAAAACAGGGGTATTTACAATAGCAATATATATTTTGGAATATAATGTTTCGTTTAAGATGTGGATAATCATCATAAAATCTCTATAAAAAAAATCTTCTATCTAAAAAACCCGCAAATTTATTTTTGAATCTCTCAAATCTAAAATAATATTTTTCTTATCAAAACATTCAATAAATAGTTAATTGGTTTTAAGTTGGGTGTTAGCTATTAGATGTTTTAGTAAGAAAAATATAATTTTAAATTTGAGATATTTCAAAATAAAATTGGTTGATTTTTTAGCTATAAATTTTTTCAGCTGGTTTTTCTGGTAATTTTTGCTAAAAATTAAAATTGAAACAAAAAAATAACTAAATAAGTAATGTTTAATTATTCTCTGTATGTGAGCCCAAAAATCAGGTTTGGGGTAACTTAAGAAACCTGAACTTCAAAACAGAAACTCCTTCAGAGTTCAGAAAATCTGTTTTGAGCTTGTGTCACGCCGCAGGTAGCATGAGCAAGTCAGTCTTGTAATTGTCCATAGACCACTTCTTGTTATTATTGATAAATAAAGGGGGTCCTAAATCCTTCAAATCTAAAAAAATGTTACCAAAACAACTAAAATAAGTAAACTTGATGTTTTTTTTTGTTTTTTGGATCTCTAGGTATTCCAAGTTTAAAAAGCTAGAGTAATTCCTCGCTGTTTAGTCAGAAGCACAAGATAGATACAACTATTTAAATAGTTTTTCATATACACAAGAGTTCGAATTTCAGATCATTTACTTAAACAATTAGAGTTTCTTGTGCTCAAGCCAATCCTCTCACTTAATCCCTTTTTTGTTGCAAATAACTGACTTAGAAGGCACTCTTACATGACTACTGTTCTCAGCCTCTCGCACACAGGATAGTGAAGTTCTTGATTAAAAAAAAAAAAAAAAAACTTCTGCTGATATCAAACTCTGACAAGTGTCATAGTACTTGGAAATTTTAATATGAAAAAGATTGAATACAACATCTCACGCAAAGTGATTCCACGGACAAATGTGTCAGCCTAGAACAGCCGAATCCTAAAATGCAACATAGGCCTTGAAAAGGCAGCTGATAATTTTCATGGCTAGGCTTCTCTAATGCTTTGCTTAAGAGAATGTGTTACTTAACATACTCTCCACGCTAAGAAAAGAAAAAGGATAGTAAAAAGAATGACAGTCAGCTTCGTGTTCTGTAGTCTTTAATGATCAGAAATAAATTGATGCTAGAGGTATAAACTGTCCCCTACATAAATTTGGGTCCATATCATTGTCTCCACTAACTAGTAGTAGAAACTGTTGTTGTGTCTACGCATCCTAACATTATCACTTCTTAAACTAGGAAGGAGCCAAATTAATGGCCTATCTATATGCCTCAACCCAGAAGCAAACTACCTAATTGGCATAGAAAAGATGCTGGTGACATTAAGGCTAACCCTCAGCTATAAAACCTCAGTGAATTGCTAATAATGTAATGCATGCAAAGAAATTAAAAAAACGAGCTATGAGAGAAACCATGAAAATCCAACTTTTCTTAGCATTTCTTTTCTCATTGCTCCTAATAGTCCCTTGTTTCGCTCAGAATTTTGCTTGTGACAAGAACATTCCTGAAACGAGCCAATTTCCCTTCTGTAACACATCCCTTTCTTATGAGAACAGAGCCAAGGATCTTATCTCGCGCTTGACATTAAAGGAAAAGGTGCAACAACTAGGAAATCATGCTGCTGGAATTTCCCGGCTGGGTGTCCCTGCTTACGAATGGTGGTCTGAGGCACTTCATGGCGTGGCAAATGTCGGTTATGGTGTACACTTTAATGCGACAGTACCTGGTGCCACTAGCTTCCCAGCAGTGATTTTGTCTGCTGCTAGTTTTAACACAACATTATGGTTTAAGATGGGACAAGTGGTGTCAACTGAGGCCCGAGCCATGTACAATGTCGGTTTAGCTGGGTTGACTTATTGGAGTCCCACTATTAATGTGTTTCGTGACCCAAGGTGGGGTCGAGGCCAAGAGACACCAGGGGAGGATCCTTTGGTGGTGTCAAAATATGCTGTGAATTATGTTAGGGGCTTGCAAGAAGTTGGTGAAGAAGGGAATTCCACTCGTAACAGCCTTAAGGTATCAAGTTGTTGCAAGCATTATACTGCTTATGATCTTGACAACTGGAAAGGTTTTGATCGGTTTCACTTTGATGCCAAGGTACGTATGAATTTTCAGATATGAGTTGCCATTTTTGCTGCATCAATGTGTTACTTAGGCCATCAGATACTTTCTTTATGAGTTCTTTCTACCTATACTATGGTATAATTGTCCTTTGACAATTTTGGACATTGAGGACGAGGTTATTTTGGTTTTGAAGGTGACAAAGCAGGACCTAGAGGACACATTTCAACCACCATTTAGAAGCTGTGTAGAGGAGGGTCACGTGAGTAGTGTGATGTGTTCATATAACAGGGTTAATGGTATTCCTACTTGTGCTGATCCAGACCTGCTCAAAGGAGTTATCAGAGGACAATGGAATCTTGACGGGTTTGTTCTTCTTCTTTCCCTCCCGCATATGAATGAATACTGAAACTTGTAGCATGACAACAGAGACTTTTTCTAATGATTTATTGAAGTTTCATGTTTAAAGTTTTGTTCCTAACTACCAATTTGTGCGTTTTTGATAGGTATATTGTCTCCGATTGTGATTCCATTGAGGTTTATTATGACAGAATCAAATATGCAGCCACACCTGAAGATGCAGTAACCCTGGCCTTAAAAGCAGGTACAATGCACTTGCACAAATCGTTGACGAATGTCTGGAAATTGAACATTCCATCTCTTCTTGGGTTATTGATACTGTAAGATAATGATCGTGTAATGCAGGTTTAAACATGAACTGCGGAGACTTTTTGCCAAGGTATACAGAGAATGCAGTCCAGTTAAACAAAATTGAAGAATCTATTGTAGACCAAGCCTTAATCTACAATTATATAGTCCTCATGAGGCTTGGTTTCTTTGATGGGGATCCAAAATTGCACCCATTTGGAAATCTTGGACCATCAGATGTATGCAGCGAAGAACATCAAAAGCTAGCACTTGATGCTGCAAAGCAAGGGATAGTCTTGCTAGAAAATAACGGAGCTCTTCCTTTGTCTATAAACGCCACAAAAAACTTGGCTGTTATAGGACCAAACGGTAACGCTACTGTGGCTATGATTAGCATCTATGCTGGTATACCTTGTAAATACACTACACCTTTACAAGGACTGCAGAAGTACATCTCATCAGTTACATATGAGGCCGGGTGTCCATTTGTGAATTGCACTGATGAATCGCTTATCGGGACAGCAACTAAGACTGCTGCTACGGCAGATGCGGTGGTATTGGTGGTGGGGCTTGATCAGTCTATAGAGCAAGAGGGCTTGGACAGGGAGAACTTGACATTGCCAGGATATCAAGAGAAACTAGTAAAAGATGTAATTAATGCAACCAACGGAACGGTGATTCTCGTTATAATGTCTGCTAGTCCTATCGATATCTCTTTCGCCAAGAATGAGAGCAAGATTGGAGGGATTCTGTGGGTAGGCTATCCTGGTCAAGCTGGAGGAGATGCCATAGCTCAGGTCATATTTGGAGACCACAATCCTGGTAGTCTTTCTATCTCTATTCCAAACCAACTAATTTGCAACATCTCATGTTTGAGCATTCTATTGCCAATTTATATCTGTTTCTAGCCAAAACAAAGTTTACAAACCACCTTCATACTGACAATCTCTTTGTCTTATCAGCTGGGAGGTCCCCCTTCACATGGTATCCAAAAGAGTACTCTGATCAAGTGCCAATGACAAACATGAACATGAGAGCCAATGCAACTGATAACTTCCCTGGAAGAACCTACAGGTTCTACACAGGAAACTCATTGTATGAGTTTGGTCATGGACTGAGCTACTCAAATTTCTCAAAGTTTGTTATTTCTGCTCCTTCTACATTACTAGTCCCATTAAAACCTTCTCTCAACCCAAGTAGCATTCTCTCAGTTTATTCCTCCAAACAAGACCCTTATCCTAATGGCCAAGCCATTGATGTTTTAAGCGTAAACTGCACCAAATTGCAACTTCGTCTAGTCATTGGTGTGAGAAACAAAGGGCCAATGGATGGAGATAACGTGGTGCTAGTATTTTGGAAGCCACCTAAATCGGCAGAAATAACAAGTCCACCAAATAAGCAACTCGTTGCATTTGACAGGGTGCATGTGAAAAAGGGCAAAACAAATAATGTAACTTTGGCTGTGGATGTATGCAAGGGACTTAGTCTTGTGGACAGTGAAGGACAGAGGAAGCTGGTAACAGGAAAGCATACGTTTATGATTGGATCTCCCAGTAAGCGCCAAGTGAGGTACCATTGCAATGTTAGGCTGGCTCAAAATGTAAGTATGGGAGGATTCCCATCTATGTAATAGAAAGAGCTTAGAAAATTTTTAATTTCTCATCAATTTCCTCATCCTAGATTGAGATGAGTTGATCCGAGGATATCACTTAACCCTTAAGCTAGCTAGTTAAGAAGGAAAAGAAAATTATAAAACGCTAGAGGAAGGGCTTGAACCTTCGACCTTGTGGTTAACAGCCACACGCTCTAGCCAACTGAGCTACTCCAGCTTGCTTGTAAAATTGGATTGGTTGTTATTTATAAAAAAAATAAAAAATTAATAATTATTAGTTATTTATTCCCGGGAATGGTATGCAATTAGTGGATTCTCATGACTTGCTGAGAGCAAGAGAGTCCAACAAAAATATGATACGCGGAGTTGGTAATTCCCATTGTGGCATTTTTGCTTGAGTTCTGCTATAAAAGATGGGTAGTTCAGAACTGTTTTAAGAAGGTTTTCTTCTTGCACCAGAAATCATAAAAGAAAACACACCATTGGTCAATTTCACCGTTTGCCAATGGCACTGCATTAAAAAAAAAAAAAAAAAAAAATCCAAAAACCCTTGAATGTTTTAATTTAATTCAGTTTTTCTTTTAGAACACCGCATAATTTACCCTACCAAATCTCTTTCATGGTTCTAGAGTACAAAACCACCTTACATATAACAAAGTGAAACATATTGAAATTCAAAAGATGTCAACTTCATTAACGACTGCTCGAAAGAAAACCTTCTGTTCTGCAGTTACTGATACAACAGGATATCAGTCGAGTCTAGCTGCCTTAACAAGCTACTGATCAGCTGGCAGATCTGTTACCATGTACAAAATAATAACATAATAAAAAAAATCATGTTTTCGACATCGTTCACTAAATCCTTGTCAAATCCTTGGTTTTCACTGCTGTTGCTGAAAAAATTCTCACTTACTCAATTCTGCAACTCAAACTCCATAGTTGCAGAGGCAGTGAAATTTTCCATCCTAACCAAGATTTCAAGTGCCTCGAGAAGTGTATAGAATCAAACATATGCTCAAACATGCCATATTTAAAAGAAAAAGGAAATGGAAGGAAAGAAAGAAACTTTTAAGACGCAAAAATGAAAGTAGGATGAGGTTTGCAAAATGCTGTTTGATAGATAAGTCATGATCACGACACTTCCAGCACAACCAATGGTCCTATACTCCTATATACTCCATAATTTATCAAAAAAAAAAAAAAAGAGGGTGACACCCTATCACCTTTATTAATGGAACGAAAAGTTAATCGAGTAAAATTGGAATTCTAATCTAGTTGGTGAGAGATAAAAAAGGGAACAAAAATACGTTGATTGTAAGTTTGGTTGATTTGTCGTCGCTCAGAGCAACAATAACTTCTATCTTCTTCAAGCCACTTGAATTCCATCAGGAATCAATGAGGCTGTCCTCCTGCAAATTACCAAAGACTGAATTATTTTTTTATTTTTATTTTTTTGAGAAAGCACTGAATGTTATTTTCAAAGTTCAAACAAATGAACAATTATTTTGATACAGGATGGGGTGGCTTTTAAAAAATATATATATTTTTACCCCTTAATCTTGAACTTTTTAAAAACTTTTTTCCTTTTAAAATATTATAAATATTTTATAAATTATATATAAAAAAATTATTAATATTTTTAACCTCTTAATTTTGAACTTTTTTTTTATAAAATGTTATTGTAAAAAAAACATAATCAATAATACATAATTTCAGGCCTTAAAAAAATATTTTCTAAATTAAAATGAGCATAATTAAGGATTGACATCCCTAATGTTATAAATTATATAGTATTTATAATATTTTATAAGAAAATTTAAAAATTTTCAAAATTAGTGGGTTAAAAAATATTTATAAATTATATTTTTTTGTATAATTTATAAAATATATATAAAAAAAGATTAAAAAAGTTCAAGATTAGGGTTTTAAAATATTTTTACAATTTTTTTAAACATAATTAACAGCGAAATTATGGGTTGACCTCCCTAATTTTATAAATTACAATTTATAAAAAAAGATTAAAATGTTATTGTAAAAAAAAAAACATAATTAACAATACATAATTTCAGGCCTTAAAAAACATTTTATAAATTAAAATGAGCATAATTAAGGGTTGACCTCCATAATTTTATAAATTATATAAAAAATTAAATAATATTTTATAAAAAAATAAAGTTAAAAACAATTCAAAATTATGAGGTTAAAAATATTTATAAATTATATTTTTATATAGAATTTATAAAATGTTTTAAAAAATATTTATAAGAACAATATTAAAAAAAAGTTCAAAATTAGGGTTTATAAATATTTTTAAAATTTTTTTAAATATAATTAACAGTAAAATGTCAATACTTAATCGTTTTGACATTTTAAGCAATAGTCAATTCACATGGTAGAGATTAAGCAATATAGATTATATTTTTTGTAATTTTCAATATTTTGAAATTAAAATGATATGATTTGATACTATAGGTCTGAAATTGCTAAATCTCAATAGAATAGTGGCAAAATTTGCCTTTAAACCTGTTTAAATTTTATTCTTACCTTTTTCAATTCGGTTACTCAAGTTTATTTTCTCAAAAAAAAGTTACCCGGAGCGGTTACATGCACACGATTGAGGACGCGTCGTGCCCCCTGATTCTTTCATTCTTTTTTGAAAATTTCTTGTTTCTGGGCCAGGCAGCCTAGCCCCCGCGCTCCAGATTGGCCTTGTACTCTCAGCCCAGTAGCTGTCCCCGGGCAGCCTGGCCCATATTTTTTTGGTCGCTTTAAAATTAATTCCTGCTCTAGATTTCTTATACAAACTTCTAATATAATTTTTGTGATGCGCGTAGTTAAAAATATTTTTATTAAATAAATATAAACAATATTTAATGTTAAAATACTATAATATAGCATATATATTGGTAGGTAAGCTACAAAAATAGATTAAAAAATAACTTGGTTATGCATAAGCTGAGAATTTATGATAATAATAAATACTTCGTAATTAATTATTTATCAATATAACATGAGTAGTTTTGAAATATTTATAATAGAAAGCATTAAAATTAATTAATATAACATGATTTTTTTAAGAAGAAATTTTTTTTTACTAGAAATAGATTGGCATTTAATTAGAAGAATAAGAAATCTTAATAACAATGGATGTAATCTATCTTTTTTTAGTCTATGTTAATTTACAACTAATTATATTCTTACTTCAAAGTTGACCATAATTTTTGGACATGTCTTCAACTTCTAATTCCTTTTTTTTTTTTTTTTTGTGAGAGAGAGAGAGAGAGCCATCGTTTAATTTTATCATTTGCCTACTAAAATTTATAATTGAATTCGAAATAACAAAATTACTCAATATTCTAAATTATGTCAATGTATAAATAGTAAAATATAAATAGGGTGAAAAGGATCGGCCAATTCCGATGTTATTTGCATAAACAACCTTCCAAAATCGATTTGCACATACTTTTATAGTACTCAAGTATCGATTATGAGTTCTTTTTAATTGGATTTTGTATGAGGTAAATAATTAATTGTATGTGTGGATTTTTTTAATAATTATCAAACATATTTAAATTTAAATATAAAAATATATACATACGAAATTAAATATTAAAACATACATATCAACTATTAATTTCTTTCACTTAAATTTTAATTTTAGTTAATTGAAAAATCAAAACGATTTTATATGCAGACCATTAGCATCGCTCAAGCACATTAATTTGTTATTTCTGTCATTTATGGTTGAATTGTTAGATTGTTCGGAATTGCTACATCATGCCATGCAAGGAATCCATCAAGAGTATGAGTTTTTTTTTTTTTTACGTGAGATTATTTTTATTATATATTTTTAGAGACATTTGTTCTGCGTTGAGATATTTTAAATAAAAATATTTTAAAAACAAAAAAAATTTGTTTTTTTATATAAATAATGATGTGATAAAATAATGGTGACAGTTAGATGGTGATAATATGTTGTGCGATAAGGTGTAGTGGCAATTTTGGTTGTGTTGATGATAGAGATGGGAGAGGAGGTGATACCAGTGGCAACAATGACAAAAAACAGATGGCAGGTGGTAGCGTATTGGCAACAACAATAACGATACCGAAGTGATGAGATGGTGGTTGCGAAGGAAGTCGTGGAAATAGTAACATTGGCGGCAATGATAGTAATAGTTGAAATAAATGTACGATGTCGTTAGTTGTTTACCGTTTGTAAAAAACTACATTGGCCAATTTTTTAATAGAAAACTTTTACATACATGCAGAAAATCAGCAAAATATTTTTTTATAAAATATTTTATACAAAACAAACTCTTGGTTGCAGGTGACAAGAAGGAGAGGCTAATAATTACTTAACTACTCTCTCAATTAACATCCATAATAATCTTGCCACCATTTTTAAAATAAAATAAAATTACTCATATGCATAGTTAATTTTTCAAAAATTATAAAATCTTAGAGGAAACTAAATCTATACCCTAATAACGATAATTTTCTCTTATTGTTAAAAATTAAAAAAATTGATTTTTTTTCCTGATGGAAATGGTTCAAATATGCATTCATATTTCTAGTTTTTTAATTATATCCTTTTATAACGGAACCGAGTGATGAATCAATCTCTCTCCTATGACAAAAGACGTCGATTAGATGTTTTGTGTGATTAGAATTTTTTTCAAATAATTATTTTTTCTTATTATCAAAACTAAAATTAAGATTAAATTTCACCATATTCAACGAAAAAAAATAACAACAAAACACAAAAAAATCATTAAAACAGTTTCTTTATTGGGTTATGACTACTTCATTTCATTTTCGTCTTAATCTTAATATAGAAAGAAAAAGAAACTAAGCTAGTGGAGCCAATATACATACTTTATGGAGATAGAATAAATGAAGTTCTTATATTATTTTAGCTAAAAAAATTATACTTTATTTTAATGAATTAATTCATCTACTGTACATCTCAAATAATAACAAAATTCATTATTTATTTTAATATCTTACAAACAAACAAACTTTTCATATAAAATTTATATACAAATACATATAGCAGTTATTCTTTACATATGAGAATCTTTAAATACGAGAATAATCACTTGTTTTTTATAAATTGTACTTTTTTACCATCTATTATGGACACATTAATTCTTACAAAATTTTAGTATAAAATATTTTTTTGTAAATATATATTTTTTTATTTGTAATCGATGTCAATGATTTTCTAAAAGGAAAATTTAGTTAGTATATCTCAATCAATGATTTTGCATAGTTTCGTATAATTGTCCCAAACTGTAGTTATGATTTTGGATAGTTTCGTATAATTGTCCCAAACAGTAGTTAACTTACAATTTAATTCCACTAGCAATATACCCACGTCTTCACGTATAATCATAGTTAATTTCAAAAGAATTTTAAACTTCAACTTCCCATACAAATGTTGTGAAGGTATTTTTAGATAAATGATTACGTAATGCAAACGTAATATTTCATGTCAAAAAGTATAAAATAATCTACCTATGTTTTCGTTTTTAAAAAAAAATAAAAAAGAAAAGAAAAAAAGAAAAAGACAAGTGATCGGTGAGAAAGGTCACACTAGTACTCCCATTAGATAAGGATAGCAGACACAAAGAGCCGCATACATTGAATAAGGCACAGACACGCAGTTGATAACCCACAAGTCAAATTTGAAAATTTTGACTTCTCAATTGCAAAACCATTACCATACCAAAATCCATACTATACTACTCAATCCAACTTGTTATTTGCTTCCTTGTCAGCTAATTAATCTTTTATTTGGGTGAGATTATCTTGTTTAATGTTTTATTGACACCATGTTTTTGTGTTATAGACTTCCTCAACGTTAGTTAGGCCCTTATAGTTTTTCAAATCAAATTTGAAATCCTTTTCGAGCTCAAAGTCTACCCACAGGTAAGCAAAAAGTTCGGTATATTTCTCTTTATCACGCGGTTTTTTACTGTATAAGATATCAATGGCTAGCTGTCTAACATTTCAATGAAGAATTTTCAAAGTCTGATCATTGATTTAACAAAACTTCATTGACCAAAACTTTTTATCTGGGTAAGATTATCTTTGTTTAATGTTCCTACGATTTCCCGTCATTTTCCATCACTGTCAATTATATGGTCACTATAAATATAGGTTGGTCTGTGACATTATAATCATATACCTGCAAAAGACATACACTTTGACATCTACAAAGTTTTAGCCGAGATATATAGTTAACCAGAGCAACTCAACAGGAAAGAAACAAGAAGGGTGATGGAAGGTTTAATTCCATATCTTCTCCATGCGATCAAGAAACAAAAGCCTCAAAACAGCTACAGGTCTCTCTCCATGGGATCGAGCCGTAGCTACCATGTGTTGATGGGAGGTGAAGAGCAGTCATTCAATGGTTCATCTCATCGGCGAACCAGGTCAGACTACCAGCCACCAACCATGGAGTTTTTGGAGCAGCGGACCAATATGGAATTTCACCGATATGACAGCTTGAGAAAACGTTCAGTGAACCCTCCGTCAATCGCTGGTGGCTCAAATTTCGATACATATCCTCGCCAAATGGGCAAGCAGTTGAACAATTAAGCTAATCCTCGACAATAAGAGATTCAAAATATTGAAGATGGCTCGACGACAGTGTTATTATTGATTCTTTTGTATTGCTCTATGCTGTATTCTTTTGTTCAAATGTCATCGCGAGGGTCGAAAAAATGGAAATTGTACATTTAATTATAACAGTATTTTCATAGTGTTGTCAATCTCTATTATTTAAGGTGGTGTATTCTTGGGTTTTTAATTATGCCATTGAATTGAATGGATATGTGAAATTTTGGTTTTTTTTTTTCCTCGGATGGAGACTTCCTTGTATCACTATAAGAAGTTGAAAAGATGCAAATAATAATGCATCATATTTCATTTAACATATCCAATCAGAATGCTAAGTACGTTAAGGCATCTGGGATTGTAGACTTTTGTAGTATACTTGTCAATTTTTCATTACATTTTCATCATTTTACAGTATATTATTTGTTCTTAGTTATATCATTGCTTGGATATATGAAGGACTGGTGTCTCTCTTTTTCTTTGTGGTTGAGACTTCCTTCTAATATCATAGGAAGTTGCCTCAATTTCTAATTGTCTTATGATCATTTTTTATTTTTGCAATGTATTCGTTTTAAATTTGCAGTATATTTGTGGTATTTTACAAAGTTCTCTATCATGTCATTGAATGAATACATGAATATATTGCGATAAGCTTGGTTTGTTTTTGAGAAACTGTATATTTGGTCCCTAATTTTTTATCATTATTTTGCCTAAGTGCCTCACTTTCAATCTTACCAATTTGATTTATTGACTTTTTTTTTTTTTTTTGGTATTTCAGTGCCTACTCTTAATTCATTGTGTTAAGCACTATCATATCCATTATCTAATGATACTTGGAAAAAAATGGGTCACAATAGAAAATTTTGAAGCAGAGAAAACTATATATTTAGGGTCCAACTTTATTATTTTTTCAATTTAAATGCCTCATCTTCAATTGTATCTATTTGAGAAACTAACCTTTTATTGTTTTTATTTGAATATTTGCTGTTAATTTAATTTGTATGGTGTTAGCGTTTCGATTATCTTATGACTAGTAATAAAAAATTCGAGCCTTATGGAAAATTTGTGAAAAAATCAGGGAAAAGTAGAAAAATAATGAAAGTGAATATCAAAAAAGAAAGCAGATATTAAATTCAATGTCTAGGCCTCAAACAGTTACATCTTAACACACTATTGTCAAACCACACCAAAAAGCCACAATCCACTGTCAACCTCTATTAATCTTGGCAGCAAAGGTTTCATGATGGTTGACAGAAGGGGGTTGTGTGTGGCATTAAATGTGGGTTTGATAGCAATAATTATTTATTTCTATTTTTAAATGCAAACGTATGATTCCCACACATTGAATTTCAATTCGTACATTATGTTTTCCTTTTCAATTTTCTCTTTCTTTTTTCTTTAATTTCATTTTTTTCACATTTTTTTTATTGAGACCATTTTTTTCTCCAACAAAAAAACTGGTGTTCAATCTCAAATGCCTTATGCCTCAGTTTTTAGAGTAGTTTTTTTTTTTTTTTTATTACAATATATTTTCTCAATTTTATAGGGTGCTGTAGTCCATCATTATAAATTTAGAGGTGTTTTTTTCCCCCTAGGCATTGTAATTAGATTTGTTAATAAAAACGACATCCTTTCCTTGTCTATTGATTGGTCTGAGTTACCTCTAGGCATCATATCCAAGATTCGATGGACCAATTCCAAATGCTACTTGATTCATATGGAACTCATTCACCAAACCAAGTTGAAATACAAAAAGTCAAAAGTCCTTTAAATTGATTGTGTTGGATGAGAAAGACATATAAAGAACCATACACATCATGAAGTTATGCCCTTATGTTCTTCACAGTAGCTAACATGTATAGAAACAGAGCTGATGTTACTAAGAAAGACAATTGGAGCCACAAGCACAAAGCCAAGATAGAAGTATAAATTATTATTAAGACCTATGCCTATAGCAAGAAAGAATTATCCCTACTAGTGAACTCTCGTGCGAAGTATGAATAATTGAAATTATACCATAATTCTGTAGGAACAATGCTATTATATCCTTGAGTTAGCAATGGAATTTAGATGGATAAATTATACAACCTTATCACATCCAGCAATAAGTCACAGGCAGTGGAAGCAAATGGGTCAAACAGTGCAAAGCACAAGGACTCGTGATCTAAGAGAACGAAATTCGAAGAAAAAGAAGAGTAAGATGGTGATATGATGTGTCGCTTTCCTAGCAAGCTGCAGAATTCATGACCAAATGACTAAAATATGTAGTTACATCAGAAGGGAAGTTTCATTTCTATTACCTCGCACACAATTGCTTTAATAATTTCCATCAGTGCTTAAGGTATGATTTATGTGCCAAGCATGTATATATCAATACAGGGCTAAATGTATGATCTACGCGAATCTGCTAATCATATATGATTCTTTAACCTTAGTCAACCCAATGTATTAGAATATTTCCATGTTAGGTGGGAAAGCGGATTTCTAATTCCAGCAACTCCATTGATGGGAAAAGCATCAGAGATTTCCTTCAAATCAATTTCTTTTTTTTGTCAGCTTAACATTCAATGATCGAATATTGTGATCCAGATTTTTAATCTTAGTGGTGCCTTGAGAAATTTGAGGGAAAGATTAGCAATGCACAGCTCGTGGAATGGAGAACATGAAAGACAAGCGGACTCACCAAGCAAGGGCAAGTTGAGTTCACAGCCACGTTTTGCAGCCAGTTTTTCTATAACTGGTCATGCCATCCCAAATCCACCAGTTTTGCAAACCCATGGTCCAGTTCAATCACCTAACTTTCTACCCTAATTAAGCCATGTAAAATAGCACTTTAAGAAATCTATCTATTGTGGAAATAACCTGGTCGTCCTACGTCAGCACAACACATAGGAGAGGATGTTGCTAAGAAATTGAAAGAATATGATGTCCTAAATACATTCCCATCATGGTTCACAAGTACAAAATACTAGAACATGGGAGAAAAAAAATCTGGGACAACAAACAAATAAAAGCTGCATATAATTTTAAGATGCTACAATCTACGAAAAAACACCAGGAAATCGAATGAAAACTTGGAGGCAGAAATTAACCATGCATATACATCATAACAAAACTTCAACATGTTAGAAAACTCCATATGAGAAACATAATAAAATGTCGAAAAAAATGGGGTTTTCCTTCAGTAAATTGGGAAGATTCTTCTATGAACGCACTCCATCCAAACCCACACAAAAGGCAGAAACAAAACAAAAAATTTACCAAAATTTTTAACGTTATTAAATTCTAATAATTTGCGAATTCACCCTTTATTACTGAATCGAATTTTGACTCGTGCTAATAATTATTCAATTTTACTCTCAGTTTGTCAATATTGATCAAATTTTGTCCAAGTTTTAATTAATAAATGTACTAAAATTAGATGGAGTTTTATTGTAGCTAATCTCAGCTATAATAAAATCAAAACGATATTGTTTTGAGCTGTTCTAGTTCCAAATGACTCCGTTTTTTCAAAAAAAAAAAAAATTCTTTTTGATTAATTTGTCTTTTTTTACATTTTGATATTTTAAGTTATTATTTTATATAAAACAATTTCTAACTTTAATTATTGTAAAAAAAGTTCCTTTTTTGTTGGGCTGGGCTTCCAAGCCAATTGCTTGGGCCTAGTTTTCTCTGTGCTCATACGGAAGGGTTTGGTGTGAGCCAGGTTTTTTTTTTCTTTTATCTTTTTTTTGTGCTTTTTTTATTATTCATTTTTTACCCAAAATATTTTTTTTATAATTAATAATTATTTTTTATTTTTGTAAAGACTCATTAACTAACATTAAATTATTATATTATACTAAAAACTAAAGTAAAACCATTGGTTTTATTATTTATTTACTATTTGAAACACTATTTACAAACTCAAAAATCACCATTCACACACTCACGAGTTACTATTCTTTTTATTATTCATTACATTTTTTTAACACTTTGGTCTTCAATTTTTTTATATATTTTTTTTCAATTTCAAACTTTAATTGTATTACGATTTGATTCCATTTTGTTTTAGTGTTTTTAGTTAATTATTTTTTTATTTAAGATTTGCTACTTTAGTTTATCATTTTTTTAAATTCGCTTTTTGTTTTTCAATTTCAAACTTTAATTATATTGTGATTTGGTCCCATTTTGTTTTAACGTTTTTTGTTCATTATTTTTATTATTTAAAATTTATTACTTTAATTTGTCATTTTTTTAAAAAATTCTCATCCAAATCTATGCTCCTCAATTTTTCTATATATATATATATATATATATATATATATATATATATATATATATATATATTAATTTCAAAATTCAATTGTATTGTGATTTGGTTCCATTTTGTTTTAGTGTTTTTTGTTAATTATTTTTATTATTTAAAATTTACTACTTTAATTTGTCATTTTTTTTAAATTCTCATCCAATTAATTTAAAATTATATTTACTCGATAGTTTTGATTTATTTTTCTATATGTATGAATTTTGGAATAAATTTTTAGAACATAATTATTTTTTTTGAAAAATAAATTTAGATAATTTTTAAATTATAGTAGCATGATTGATTTATATATTATTTTTCTAGAATGCAAATAGTTAGATACAAAATTTTTGATTAAAAAATTATAAATAATTTTTTTTCATTTTTGATTTCATATATTTTTATAGATTCACATCATAAAACGAGACTATCAAAGTAAAATGATTTTTTTAAACGATTTTATATATTTTATCCAACCTACGGTGTTGAGCGGCCAAAAAAACTAGTATTCTTCTAATATAAATTGATTAAACACCTTCTTTTAATTTATTTTTTTAAAAAAATAATCAATGAATTTTTTCTTCATCAAAATAAAATATATTCCTAATACGTATTTAAACTCAATTATAAAACACACACACACACACACACACATATATATAATTAAATAATTTTTCATGATTAATTTTTATTTTATGCGTATATTTTAAAATTATTTAAAATATTAAAATAAAGTATCTAATAAATTTACCTGCGGCAACGTGTATGTACTATACTATACTAGTATCAATTGAAAATGAAGGAGATATCAAAAACTCTATCTATAATAATATTCGACATAGATTTTCCAATGAGTTTGATTTTCAATGCGAAAAAACAACAACCTTCTAAACTCATAAACATCACCCTTTCCCAAATCTCCTAATGTACGGGCCACCTTCATGAACCACAAGCATAATGTGGAACTATGACATAGAAAAATGCTGAACTATAACAATAAAAACAATATATAATTTTTTTTAAAAAAATTACCTTTAAGGTATCTCCATTCCCCAACCTCAAATATCCAAAATGATATTTTATTCTTTATTGATTTTGTATACGTTCGAGCATATGGGTGCTTCGGAGGTGGGCTGCGATGGGTAGCCCATGAGTCAGTCCAAACCCAGTGCAACCCGGTTCAAAAATACACGTCGTTTAAGCTAAGGGAACGCTTTGTATGCGATTTACCAGATAACAACGACATCGTGTTGAAGCTGGAAGCATGTCTTTTGTTTCTAGTAAAGACATCACCAGGACTGTGAAGAGAGAGCTGACAGAGACTACAGAAACAAAGATAAAGAAAAACACATAAAATCGGAGTTCTAAACAATTGTTATTATGGGCGTTCGATCGATTTTCGACGTTCCAGATGTAAGGGCAGAGTTTGAAAAAGCAGGCATCAATTCTCTCTTCATTCCTTTTATTTGGAAGTAAGCAATATCTCTTATTAACACAATTACATGAATGCAGTGTTCTTTTTTTTCCCCCCTTTTTGAAATTAATGTTACTTAATGTTTATATATATATATATATATATATATATATATATATATATATATATATATATATTTTATTGTTTAAGGTATGTGATTAAAAACCCTAATTGTGAATGGGAGCAAATACCCGATTTGCCCTCTGCTGCGTACCCCCTTTTGCGTTCCAAGTTCAAAATTTTCACTTCAACTGTTGACTCCGTTATTGATTCAAACGATGGGGTCACCACCAAACTTCTCATTAAGCTTCAGGTACCACTGTACTTGGTTCTTTAGTATCATTGCCATTCTGATGATATTTTGTTCTACTGAAAAGATAAATTAAGATGTGTTTTTGGTTTAAAAAGGTATGTTTGTGTTTTTTTATTGGCATTGCCTTTTGTTGATTTGGGTTTGCGTTATGATTGTTAATCATTAGAATGGAGCATTTGTGGAGGCGGTGATTATGAGGTATGACACCCGGTTGGGGAAATATTGTGGGAAACCCCGTCCTGGTGGTCCAAGATCGACTCTATGCATATCATCTCAGGTATGGGTGTTGTATCCATGTCGTTGATAGAAATGTATCGTTGCTAAGCTGTAGTATTTTTAGCATGTATATGTGTGACTTGAGCCAATTCGAAACTTCATGAGCAAGACAAGTTTTAATTAGCTTTGGGTTACAGCATTGTTTTCTTCTTTTTTAGGGAAAGTAGAAAATTTGAGAAGTTGCTCATTTTAAGTCAGTGCATTGATTGCAATGTAAGATGAAGCTTGGCTTGTGTTTGAAAATTGATATTTTTGGCCCTTTTTCATCACCAATCTTAATCAATAGGAGGTTTTCATTTAACCCTTGATTTTTTTGAGTCTTTGCTTTTTTGGTTCATGAATGTAACTGCTGCTTATGCACAACATTTGTTTCAACCACTTCTCTTTCTTTCGTAGGTTGGATGTAAGATGGGTTGCAAGTTTTGTGCAACTGGAAGCATGGGATTCAAAAACAATTTATCATCAGGGGAAATTGTTGAGCAATTAGTTCATGCCTCTCACTTGTCACAAATACGGAATGTTGTTTTCATGGTCAGCACTTCTTCTTTTTCTTTCCTAATCGCAATTTCCTAGCCTTTATATTGGTCCAAAATGAGGTTTGAAATTGAGTCCAAATACTTGATTGTCTGTTTTGTTACCAGGGGATGGGGGAACCACTGAATAACTACTCTTCTTTGGTGGAAGCAGTACGTGTTATGTTGGGAGCTCCATTTCAGCTATCTCCAAAGAGAATTACTGTATCAACAGTAAGTGCACAAGCATCATGCATCATATTTATGGTTTTCCATTTTTCTATTTTGTTCCAGAGCTCTTCATACTATGCTGCTGACTTCACTAAAATCATTGCCTTGTTCTCTCCTGAGATGGATTTCTTGTTAAATTAACTTCTTGTAAAATTTGAAAGATTCGGTCCTCATTGCCCACCCTTTTCGGGATATTATTTTCAATAATAACATAACTTGAAACCTGTAACATTAAAATGTTATAGGTATTGAGATTTGATGAGATCCATTATTTCCTTACTAAATTTTTCATGAGAGATTTCTTATCTCATCATTTTTGTCTGCCATCTCCATAACTGTTATTTTCTTCTCTAGGTTTGCTCATAACTTGCAATCAAAGAATCTTGTTTGGTTAAGCTTCATGAATTTTACCTTATTTTAACATTTTTGTATGCTTTTGTGTTGAGTTTTAAGTGAATTGGTGGGATGTCTTAATGGTCTGGTAAAGCACGCATTGTAATTATGGGAATGGAATTTACTGAGGGCATCATGTGTAGTTGTCAAGAAAACATTCCTTCTACTGTGATTCTTTATTGTCTATTTTCATTTCTTCTGCTTTCTTGAGGTATTTGAGATGGATTTCGTTGCCTATTGAACTTAAACTTTTCGTTAGGAGAAATATATAGGTAGATTTAAAATTTTAAATGGTTTATGAATGCAGGAAAAACTTGACTTACAAGCATACCGGTTCAATCTAATCTTCTGTAGGTTGGAATAATTCATGCTATTAACAAGCTTCATAAAGATCTACCAGGTTTGAACCTGGCAGTATCCCTACATGCACCAGTTCAAGACATCCGCTGTCAGATAATGCCTGCAGCTCGTGCTTTCCCTTTGGAAAAACTTATGGATGCTCTGCAAATATATCAAAAGAACAGGTAAAACTTGGTTAGTCGCGTGTTTCTGTAGATCATTTCTGAATTACATGTCTTTGCAACTTGTTCATCTCACATCTGGTTGTGATTTTCAGTAGGCAGAAGATTTTTATTGAGTACATAATGCTTGATGGGGTGAATGATGAAGAGGAGCATGCCCACCAGCTTGGCAAATTGCTAGAGACATTTGATGTGGTGAGCTCTTAAATTTGAGTTTAAGCATGAAGATCTAATTGTGCTATGTGGGGCACTCTACAGACATTTGAAATCTTGAGCTTTATTTAGTTATTATTTATGGTTAAATGAGTGAATTAATGCATACTGCTTCAGTAGTAACAAGTCTTGAGATTTGGTTTGTTGCTTGTCAAGTATCAAAATCTTTAAGCACTCAAGGTTGTACTTCCAGGATAGGTGGCATATCGTTTTTTTATGAGTTAGTCCAATAGCATCATACTTATCGATTTCACTCATCTCTGCACATGTTTTCAGTTGTGTCTCCATATCTCTCAGTAGCTGCAGGCTACTTGAATATACAATGTCCTTCTTATTTGACCTTTTTACTTTCCAAGCAGGTTGTGAATTTGATACCTTTCAATCCAATTGGTAATCTGAGTCAATTCAGAACAAGCAGTGAAATGAAAGTATTGACATTCCAGAAAATTCTTAGAGGTGTCAACAACATCCGGACAACAATTCGTAAGGAAATGGGTCAGGATATAAGTGGTGCTTGTGGTCAGCTGGTAGTCAACTTACCTGATAAGAAGTCTACAAATTTGGGTGTAACTGATATTGAAGACCTTGTTTCCCGTAGATGATTTAGTTAGTCTAGATAGTTGAATATAGACTCACATTGTTTGTTGAATTCATTTTCAAAAGTAGGCAATGCATCGGTAATGTGTTAGTTGCACTGTTGAGGTTTTTGATGATTTTTCTTGGTATTATTGATGATATAATCAATTATCACTCGCTTAATGCGTGTCAAGATCAATGTGTTAGGACTGAAATTAGAGGCCTAATTACAGGTCAGACTGTTAGCCTCTGGCTCTCTGTCAGTCGTCTAACACTGCGATTTCGAAGTAAAGGAATTATCAAATGTAATAGTAAACGCTACCATTCACATCAACGGCCAGCATATTTGGTTCTGTGCCTACGGGTCGGTTGGGTACTTTGATCAATTTCATTTATGTGTATTAGCATATCCCTGAGAAATAATGCATAACAACAACAACAGGTCATAAGTGCCTACAAAATGAGTTCAGAACCATATGAGCCACAAGAAGCAGTTTCAAACAATTTAAAGCTAGATACGGTATGTATTTGAGGAATGAATTGAAGCATATAGCATTTTTCATGGTACTAATTAAATTGGCCAATTCAAATGTTTGTTGCATTATGAAATAGAAATCATAAGAGAAATGAATTACAATCCAGCATCTCTGCGCTCAAAACGTCTTGAAAGGGGGAAATATCAACAAAAAGATTAATGCTTCGACCTTATCTTAACAAACACAACCTCACTGCATTATGCAGATCAAAAACTTCACACCATCCTGTCTGCCTATGACGCCAAGAGTGCTTCAATCTTTGCAATCTGATCCTCATCGTTCTTTGTGGTTGGACTCCTATTACCGTCATCAAACAAATCATGCTTCCATTTCTCTCCTACCGTACCACTTGGGTGATAACCTCGCCTCTCGCTGAATCTCTCTCTTCCCCTATAATTTCCACCACCACCACCATATCTTTCTCTTGATGGAAGGCCAACCCTCTGCAGTTCTCTATTTCCTGCAGCTTGCCTCTCAGATCTGTCTATATGACGAGGGTTACGGTCTCTTTCCTCTCTCCGTTCACTGACTGACATAGGATGATCAGAATGGCGTGACCTTGCAGATTCCACAGCTGCTTTGCCAGGATTTTCATTCTCCACTGGGATCTTCTTCTCCCGAAATGCAGGTCTTTTCCTCGCAGGAGGTGGCGGCTCAGCCTCCATTTTCAAGAAACCATCATGGCCCCAAGCACTGTTGTCATCCCCCTTACCTCGTGGTTTCTTGTCTCTTTGCTGCGAATCATAAGTTGCTGACTTGTTTACTGCCCTATCATCCCGATAATCCTTTGAATCCCTAAATCGACGCTCTTCAAAAGAAAGGAACACAAGAACAGTAAGTGAAAACATTTGACAAGGACAAATAAATATTATACGTAACAAGGTCAAAGGATTATGTGAGTCCTGCAAGTGAGATCAGGAACTAACCGGTAGCAGCTCTCTGGCCAAAGCTTCGCCCAACTTGCGCGGCATTACCACGCTCATCATGCTGTTAAAAGACATGCACAGGGAAGCCTAAGATTGTTATATACATGGAGGCTTTCGAAGGCATGGGCCAGACAACAATCCCGCTACATCAGCCCAGAAAAAAAAGGTTTGAATACACTGAATAAAAACCCAGTGATTAAGATCGAGAGAAATACTCTGCTCATTTACTAGAAATGATCAATTACATTAATGCAAGACTCTAACATCTATTTTGTCCCACAAACACAAACATGCATAGAGAATACTAATGTATTAGAGATCCATCTTGCACCAAGATGCAGAAATGTAAATACCTCACTCATCTCTTTCCAATCATTAGAAGAATGCACGCAAAACATTAGCTTCAAAACATCTATGATACCGAAGATTTGTGAAGAAAGAAAATCTAAAAAAAGGTGCTGTTTTAAGCAAAAGTTGAACTGCTCTGTTTTGACTCAAGCAAATGACCATTTACAAAGACAACCATTAAGATACTGTATAGCACAAGTAGCATTTCAGGAAAGTATAGAAAAAATCCCAAGCCACTAAGTTCAACATTGACTACAAATTTAAAACTTCAATTTCCATAGACACCCAAGCATACTTAGCTTTTCTGAACTTACTATCTATACTGCGCTGGATTTCACCTCCCATTGGATAATGAAATTGACACTCCAAAAGAAATTCAACACAAAACACATAATAAGAATTACTTCAGAAAGGAAAAAAAAAACCTGAAAATAGGATCGAGAACGAGGAACTTCAGTTGGGTTAGAAGAATGCTTGCTTCCTTCGCTATATCCATCTGGTTTCTTGTCTGTTTCTTTGATCACACCACCAGACCCCACCTTGACAGAATCCAGACCAGATGGAGCCTCAAGAGGCAATGCATCTTGCAACCGGCGCCTGTTCTTTTGATCCAGATTAGAGTCAGCTGTTACTCTCTCTGTCTCTGGTTTCCCATCTCTCCTCGACCTCTTAGGACTTCAAAAAAAAAAAAAACCCAAACACCTCACAGACATTACCGACATCATCATATTCAGGTACTAAGGTCATGTTTGGGTCTAAAACATAAAAACCCACTTCATGAATCTAAGGGATTCGTTAATTATCACTACATAACAAGAAAATGAAGGGCATAAAAAACAGTAAGGCCATGTTTGGTTCAAAACAAGAAAACCTACTTCATGAATTTACGTGATTCATTAACTATCACTACATAGCAACAAAATGCAGGGCATACAAAAACACTAAGGCCATGTTTGGTTCAAAACAAGAAAACCCACCTCAAGAACCGCAATCACAGATTAATTATCACTACAGAGCAACAAAAAGCAGTACATGCAGTATATTAAGGCCATGTTTGGTTTTATGGAAAAAAGAACCCAATACATAAAAACCCTAAAAGGTTACCTGGATTCCCTGTCAAAGCCAGAACGGTGTCGCCTAGAGTCAGAATCGCGTTCTCGACGAGACATCGCGATGTAGAGATAGAACAGCGAATTAGGGTTTTAGTGAAGTGGGGTTATCAGAGAGACACCGTGAGGTTTTCCTCGCTGGATGAGTGATGGAGATGCTGTTAAATGATATGTCATCTTAGCGGTTACTAAATTATGTCGTTGACTTGATTTTTTAATCTTAACCGTCCATCCTTCGTATAATATTGATTATGTGTCGCTACATACGGAAATGACAAGTTACTACTAGGTTAATTTGTTAATTACATACATATATATACATACGTACATACATATATATAGATATATACACACACACATTAATTTGTTGATTATCATGTCCTCTAATATGAAAAGTACTATTAAAATGTTTTGCAATGATACTATGAACATAACAAAATCTATATCTTGTTATTTCTTCATATGTTGTTAGATAATTAGATAATCGGGAATAAAATGATGAAAATGAAAATGAAAATGAAAATGAAAGTTTTATTTCTACATTATAGTTGTTTGATTAAAAGAATGAAGTGTGAATGAGAATGAAGAGTAGAAATGAAAATGAAAATTTACACACAATTTTATTCCCATATAAGAAGTGGAAATAAAAATAAAGAATGGAAATGAATTTTTTTTCAATATAATAATATATTTTATTTATTTATTGTATATTAACTATTTTTATCATCACCATAACCACCATCATACCACTCGTCACAATCACTACCACCAACACCACAACAACCAACACTAGCATCGCCACCATAACCACCACAAGCACTATCATCACCACTACAACACCACCACCACTACCATCACCATTATTATTTTTACAATCATTATAGTTTGATAAAATTATTTTTTTAATCATTATTTTTATTTATATAAAAAAAATCAGATATTAAAAAATTTAAACTGCATTCTAATTCTTTGTTAATATTTCAAATATAATATGAAAATACAAATACCATTTCGATTTCTTGATTTCCATTTCAATTCTTGCATTCATATTCTAGAGCTTTTATTCCTTATGATCAAACGACACATAAAAGTTACAGGTTGTTTAAAAAGTTCTAAATTTTATCTTTATTAAGAGTTTTGTTAAAAAAAAAAAAAAAGTTTTGGTAATGAATGCTAAGAGCACTTTTAAAAGATGGATTTACCATGGTAGTCGGTCATCAATTCTCCTTTTCAATATAAATATGCAAAAGTACTAACTAGCATTATAAAATTTGAATAATGATTTACAATAATTCAGATTGGTTAAATGGCAAAATTTACTCCTAAGTCATGGAAGTGGCAGTGACAGTAAAATAAGATTTATATTATTACTTTTAAGTTATTTAAATACTGAATTTTTAATTTCAGAATAAATATTATTATTTTTTCATCATTTGCAATTTAAGTTCTAAATTATTAATTTTTGAATAAATATTATCATTTCTAACAGCATCGACGTTACTTGAAATATAGTTTAAGCATTTCAATTTTTATTTTTTGTTGAGAATTAAAAATATATATAATCAAGGTTAAAAAATAGTTTTTCTTCCTTTCTTTCCCTCTCTCCTTTCTCTTCTGCTCTCTTTCCCTTCCCTTTTCTTTTCTTTCTCCGGTCGGCAGATCCATAATAGCTCACCATACGAAAGGAGCTGAAGAATTATTCATCTCGAACCCATCAAGAATGGTATCAAAATGCAGCAAATCCGATACATGATATCCTCATCTGCCACTGCCATCACCATACAGGAAGGTATAACCGCGCTGATTGATTGTGAAGAACAGACAGAATCCGAGGATTGAAGTCCAAGACTACATCTTTGGTCTGAAAAAGATATCAGCGACGCCGCTGGTGAGCTTCCGGGACAAAGATATTGAGTAGAATCTGTAATAAGAGAACTAGGGAAACAATAGAAAAAACATTGCAGCACCAAATTATTCTCCTTTTCCTTCCTCCTTTTTTTCTTTTAAGAAGATTCACGAGACTAAAAGTCAAAATATGAAGCAATATGAAAATAAAAGAGATAGAAGTGTTGAAGTCCACTGTCAACAGGACAACCATTGCGGGAGTTACAACTAACCCACAAAACATCACTTCCAATATCTGTTTGTACATAGAAATCTCTTGGAGGAGAATCCAATTGTAATCTTGTGTGATAAAGGCTACAAAAGTAACCCAAAAAATTAACCAAACCTGAGACTCACAACATATTTCATATTTCATTCAAGTTTAAAAATTCAAAATTTAAAATCCCATATTCCAAAAATCCCATCTTTACCAATACAACTTGAAAAACAAACATAAAATCCAAAAACTAAGGGGAAAAAAAAACCGTAATTCAAATATGGTTTAAAAGATAGAATTACCGGAGGAGGAAAGGATCAAAGGTGTCTTGAACAGGGAATCAACAATACCACCTACTGAAGACACTAACATTCTGCTATGCTTCACTTTGTCTCGCTCTTTAAGTTGACTCAGTTTCAGTTTATGGTTCGCCGGAATTCCTGTTTGCAAACGCAAAGTGGCTGGAAAAGCAGACAGAACCACCGTAGCACGAAACACTACAGCAGCGATTAGAATTCCCGCGGATCTGCCGGCCGGAGAAAGAAAAAAAAATCAAGGGAAAATGTATAACCCTTGTCAATTATTTATAAACCAAAAAGAAATCAAGATATATGGACCGCGGATCTACCGGTTATATAAAGAAAAGAAAAGGAAAGGGGAAGAGAGCAGAAGAGGAAAGGGAGAGAAAGAAAGAGAAATTATTTTTCAAACCTTTATTATATTATTTTTTCCAAATTTAATTTTTAATTTTAAAAAAGTAAAAAAAAAAAAACTAAAATACTTAAATTGCATTGTTTAACCATTTTATTTAACGGTTAACAATTAACCTTTTAACCAGAACAAAAAAATGATAATATGTGCTGAGAAATTAATAGTTAGAAATCTAAATAGTTCAAATTAATATTATAAATCTTATTTTACTACAATTTTAATAGTTTAAGCGTAAATTTTGTCTTTAAACCAATTCAAATTAAAGAATCGTTAAATGCGGATTATGTTATTCATTGGTGAGTTGTGGTAATGCAAACGAACAAACTCCTGGTAAGTGTGAAGTTTAAGAGATTTCCATTCTGCTATCTACCCCGTTGACCCACTCAGCCACTCTACATCGCTGCATAAAAAAAATGAGCAAATCGAAACATAGGAAACAAAGAAAAAGAAGAAGCAGCAGCACAACCAGCAAAGCACCACAAAGCCCTCCACTTTTCTCCAATTTTGGCAAGAAACCACTAGGTTTATTTCAATCTTATGCCTCTTGTTAATTCGCAGGCTTTCTTGTGTTGCTTTTTCTGCTTGCTTGCTTTATTCTTTGTTTCTCACAACTCCAGGCCAATTGGCCAAGAATTATGCTCTTTCCTTTATTAATTTCTAACAAGTATGATTAGTTGTTTTCTTATTTGAGCTGGTCTTCTAGGTACTGGGGGCTAGCTACTGTCAGTTTTCTATTGAAAATTATTGTACTCTTTGTATGAATTTGTGATGCACTTGTCATAAATTTTTGCAGACTTGGTAGCAGGAGGCTACCGTGAGGATCATAACTTTAGCATCTCTACTTGTAGTAATACTGGAGTGGTATGTTGTGAATTTTCCTTTATTGAAGTTTGCCACAGAAGGTCCAACTGTTTATTTCCCCAACATGATTTCTTTTGTTATCAAACTCTTTTCATTCCTTTTCAGTGGCTAAAATTAAGAAAAGAAAGAACTTTCTTCATCTTTCATATGCCAGACATTTGGCATATCTATTTTCATATTTTGATCCTAACCCCGTAATGTTATTGAGCCTTGAATTGGTTGTGTTGCATTGCTCAGAAAATTACTTCACATGCTGTCAAACACGGACGGTTCTCAACTCAAGATGTTGCAGCACAATACCATTACAAGGATGCTACCATTAATGTCAAAGCTGATTTAGAATCAAAATCACCAGTTAGTAGATTTTTCATTTTTTAGTGGAAAATAAAATCCTATGAGAACATTTACTTGGTTATCAGCTGTTGCAAGCTTCGAACTTAAGCGTCTGATGATGTCCTTTGTATCATGGCAGATTTCAGCAACTCTAACATTAAGCAGAAAGTTCCTGCCCTCCTTGAATACTACTGCTTCGCTGAAATTGCCAAATTACAATTCTAGCACGGTATTGACTCTTTCGTTCTGTATTTAAGCAAGGTTCTCCTGGTTAAGTTTTTATCATATCAAATACAATACGATTCCAACCTCCCCCTATCCGCATGGGAAGAGGTTGTAGGTTGCCTAGCTTCCATGTATGTATCGTCTTATATCGAGATCATAAATGCAAATTAAATAAATAATTCATGCTTTATCTCCTCTTATGCCCAAGATAACAGGCTATGCACATAAATGAATATCTCAGAATTTGTTAATCTGCAAGTTTTAGGACCCAAATAAGAAGATGCACATTTTTAATTCATTTCCAGCAAACCATGTAGGATTAATTTTTATCAAGGTCTTGCATCTGTGATGAAGCAACTTTATCCTCAAGCGCAGAGACAACCTGTAAATCGAAATATCTATAATTAAGATAGCAGGAAAAATGTAAAATGCAACAAAATGATTTTTAGTTCCTTTTTATGTTATCAATGCTGAACCAAAGGTTTTTCTTAATGTATGCTAATTTCTTGTTGGTGGAATTCATTTACAGTGAGAACTATTTACCTTCTCGTCGGGTACATTTGCAAAAATAAATCTTCCTTGCAACTGCAAAAGCAGAACTCTATTTTCTTGTTTCTGTTTCAGCTGCGAGCTCAATACTTCCCCAAACATGCCGGTTTGGCCATGTCGGTTTCTTTGTACCACACCTCTAAAATTCAGCTTTCTGCTTCTGTTGGTACTTCAAGTTTTGCATTTGGTATACAGACAGAGTACAATATCACTTCTAAACAATTTCGTGAGTTCGACGCAGGCATCAGTATGACAAAGCCGAATCATGAAGCATCAATTACCATGTAAGTCATTTTACCTGCACCTGTGGGAATCATGATAACAAAATTCCTAGGTAATATAAACAATGCTAATAATCAGCATGATTACTGCTTGTGGCTGCTGTCATTAATCATTATGCATTCCTTCCCGACATGCATTGGTGGAGATTTTAAGACAAATTTGTTCTCTTTAAACCATTCAGGGGAAACAAGGGTGACTTCCTAAGGGCATCATATATCCATTACTTCGATCGCAAGAAAAAAGTTGCAGCTGCGGCAGTGATCTCCCGTAGGTTTTCAAAAAAGGAGAATACTTTGATAGTTGGAGGATCATGGATCATGGACAATCTAACTACAGTTAAGGCAAGGTTTGACTATCATGGAAAGATGAAGATGCTTCTGCAACATAAAATCAAGCCAAAGTCACGCTTAACAGTTTCTAGTGAATTTGACACCAAAGCCATTAACAAGATTCCTGGAATTGGATTAACTCTTTCTCTTGTGCTTTGAATGGTTTCTAAATTTTGCAGTAGTGCTGCTCTATCTGAGACAACTCTCTGATCCATCATTACCTTCTATTGATTATCTGTAAGATTGAACTAAAGAGAGACAGCTGTTAACCACCTACCCCGTTCAAAACATACATAATTGCCCAAAAAGTTCCAATGATCATGTACCCATGCATACACAAATTCACTTCAGCTGTTAGTCAGAACTCTTATGTATATGTTTGTTGTTCCGTTTGACAGGGCATTGTGTCAATGTTTTCGGGTGCAAGTCACCGCTTTGGTTATTTGATTATGCAATCCATTTAATCAGATCATTCCAAAAAGAAACGCAAACAACCTTAGCCTCTTCAAAGTGTCAGTTGACAGCCAGAAGATAAAAAAGACTTCCTTTTTTCACCAAAACTTCTAAGTGAGAATTATACATCATAGATAATACATCCCCAGTCTTCAATAAAGCCCAATTCCTTGTCCAGTCCCATTGGCTAGTTATGAAATTGAATGTTCTGTTTCTTTAGCCTTCAGTAGGAAATGCCCAAAAGAATGTTGATAGAAAATGGAGCCAAAGTATATTTGCTTAAAGTGGATCAGAATTTTTTACTCTATTTTAGAGTATCAGATATCGGTGGGGTATGTATGGCAATACCTTATGCTAGAACATGCCACCTTCACCATACCATTAAGAGTACGAGGATATATTGACTACGGGAGATTGTTTCCTTGATATATAAACTTAAGCAACATACTTTTAAGGAAGTTATTTCTGCAAATACAATATATATTCATAATTTGAGTAAACTCTTCAGAGAGTGAAGAATTTCCCATAAAGAAAGGCTGGTAAGGGCACCTATGAAAAAAAAATTTGGCCAAATAACAATACACCAAACAATGAATATGATTCGAAAAATTAGAAGCAAGCAATGCACTAATCAAACACAAAATATTAAGGAATAAACAACAAAAAATCTACTAAAAGAGAAATTAAGCATAACATTACTAAATGAGAGTTTAACCCTAAAAACAGAATTGTGCAGAACAAAAGGATTAAGGATAATATTATCTAAAACAAACCCTAAACAAAGGGAACTACTAACAAGAACGTTTACTTCAACAATAAAAAACTCAGCTTTAAAAGCTGATAGCATTAACTTTGCTTATTCTAGGATCAATTTATTTCGCCTCAAATTCAGCTACACACAACTTCCTTTACTTCTGCTCCATCTCCGCTTTCTTCTTTCCATGCGCAAAACTCAATCCATTCCTTGCAACATAATAAATTACAGCTTTTAAATCTTATTTTTGTCTTTTTTAACTTCTCAAACCTTTTCTTTAAATTAAAAATATTATCTTCAATTGAGTTATAGACACATCAAAATGCAAAGACTTCTTAAAAAAATAAGAAAAAATGCATTAACATCCTTTGATGTGTCATAACCTTTCTCTGCTGTAAAATCAATTACAGCAGCAGCCCAATCTCATCCTCCTCGCAACATGATCGACCCCGTTACCTCGTTAATCCTCTTCACAAATGTTGATTTCTTAGGAGTGGCAGCTACAGCCAGTCCGGATCTGGATTCCTCGGCAGCTGCCGCCTCCTTTGTTGGGGTCAACCCCATAGGTTTAGAGATTGGGTTGTGGTTTAGATTTGAATACTGACTCCGAATCATATTTTGATTCGGATTCAGATTCAGATTGTTGAGTGGTGGGTTCGGGTTTTTTTGGTGTTGAATTTTGGGTTCGAGTGGTTTTGGTTTGTGGTTGAAGAGGAGAGGGTTGACTTTGTACATCATCATATACCTCTTCTTCTTCACCACTGGAAGTTTCTTCCTCTTCTTCTTCAGAGCTAGAAGCAGAAGGTGGATCTTCAATGGGAGGGTGGCGTTTTGATGCCATTGAGAAAGAGAGAGAGTTAGGGTTTCAGAACAGACTTTGATTATAAACGGCTGGGTGGGTCTTTGAAAGAAGAAAGAAAGTCGTCCCTATACGAATGTTGTTACCTCGCAGTTGAGGGTAAATAATTAATAGGGAAACCCATCGTACTGAACGACATCGTTATACACAAAACAAGGAGAATTGTTGCCGTTTTGCATTAAAACAACGTTGTTTTCAAGAAAAAATTAAAACGATTTAAATACCATATCATATGGTATTATAAATTTGTTGTTCCCGTGCATTAATTGTCCCTGTACCAATGTATATGTATAAGATGATTAATTAGTACACGTTTTCAATTAGAAAAGGACAATATTTTAAAATAACATAAACTTAAATTTTAATAAATACAAAAAAAAAAATCTTTTTTAAAATTTTGATTTGGATTTTTAATTTTTTTTTGTATGTAATTAATTATTTATGCAGTGTTAGCTCATCTCAAAATATATTAAATGCCTAAAAAATACATAAACCATTAAAATAATGATACATAAAACTAAATATTCTTTCAATTAAAAGTAAAATAACAAAAAAAAAAATCCCAAATTCAAATTAAAAAAAAATCAACAGCCCTGATAGTTTGATTAAATCTATTTTAAATCCATAGTGCTAAATATTGTAACATAATCTATGACAATAAATCTTAATTTTTTTAACTCCCAAGGTCTTAAATTCATATATGACTTTGGAAATTCTACAAGAGATTCTTTTCTGTGTCTAATGCATTTACTTTGTAACTTTCTCCTTATGTATCATATAGTTCTTTGTTTTCTCCCAACTCACAATTCTGCCAAAGGATTTCCACTAAATTAGTTTCTCTTTTCTTTAACAAGATTTTTCCTTTCTTGAAAATGCTTCTGTCTAATAAATATTGTTTAAACTCTTTGTTTTTACTTTGCAAGTGCTTAATTAGAAAAGAAGCACCAATAAAGAAAACAACAAAAGTGAGATTTTCTCTGTTCTTTTTTTTTTTTCCTTAATAGCACGTAATTAATCTTTTTGTTTTGTCCAGGTTTTCTTACTACTTTCTTTCTTTATTTTGATAATTTATCCAAGAAACTCTCAGCTTCTACATCAACCGTTTCTTGATAATGTGCCTCAAATTTCAACTAAAGACTATGCATAATGTTCTGTCATTTTTCACTTCTGTAGAATTGTTTATTGGTAATTATGATCAACTGCACGTTAGCATCTCCTCTACTAGTATATTGGACTGGTAAGTTGCGAGTTTTCTTTTTTACTATAGTTTCCCCACTAGGAATAGAATTCAAAAAAAAAAAAAAAAAAAAATTCACCCATGATGTTTTTTATTATCAAATTCTTTTTCATTCTTTTAAATTGTCTACGATTTAGATGATCACTTGTGTATACTTATGATCCTAATCCTTATTAGTTACTGAGCAAAACTTGAATGTGGATCGCATTGTTAAGACTCTTGCTTCATTTGTTGCCAAATTTGGTGGAGGTTCAAGAGTAGGTATTGAAGCAAAACTATAGCAAGGATACAGAGGATGCTACCATCAGTTGATATTTATTTAACATCACACGTCAGTTCTTGGGTTTAGTTTGCAGTTCTTACTTGCAAACTTGAAATATACTCTCACTTCAGTGCTACGTACCTGATGCCTTCTGTAATACAGCAGACTTCGACCCTCCTCACAGTGAACATTACATTCTCATCCATGAAGAGTACACTTTTTCTGAATTATCCATATCTCAACACTTCCACGGCGAGGACAGTTTTTTGTGCTTGAGCTGAGTAAGGTTCTCATGATAAGGTTCCAATATTTAATCAAATTGAATATTGTATGATTCCTTAACATGGAAAGAAACGATAAATAGCCTGTTTCCACGCATGAGTTGTCCTATATGATCATATTTGTTCAGATGATGCATGCAAATTGGATAACTAAAATATGGGCTTTTATCTCGAGGCTTCTGTTTTGCTAACTTCATTTTGATCAAACGCATTTTCAGTGAGAAATTTAGTCACCTTTTCTTCTAGTCCATTACATGTGCAGATTCTAATTGAGCCTCGAGTTCAATACTTCCACAAATATCCTGCTTTAGCCACGTCTCTTCCTTCTATCGGCCACACTGAAGTTCAGCTTTCCGCAACAATTGGCACTCCAAGCCTTGCATTTGGCATGAGAACTAGTTACAATACAAATGCTAGATATTTTTTGGTTTTTGACACGTGATTTGGCATGAAGGAGTCGAATTGTGAAGCATCACTTATTCTGTAAGTTACTTTATCTATACTAGTGAAAAACATGAACAGGCATCTTTAGTTAAACTCACAACATATTGTAAGATAAAAGAGTGCCTCAGAATCAGCATTAATATAGATATTAACTGTAAATAAGATCAAATTAATAAAACAAAATATCTGATTCTTTTTACAATTGATGTCTCTATTGTAAATATGTTGCCTAGGACTTTAACACAAATCATTCTAGCTCTATAAACTTTCCAGGATAGGAAATGGTGACATTCTAAAGGCAACATGTTTATAATATTTTGGTCGTGAAAGGAAATTTACAGCAGCAGCAATGATCTCTAAGTGGTTTTTAAAAAAGAAAAACATTTTGATGGATGAAGGATCTTGTACTAAGGATGATCGAACGATCGACAATTAAGGCAAGGCTCAATAAAACAAGTCAGTTCTTGGATTTAGTTCGCAGTTCTTACTGGAAAACTTAAAGCATATTCGTATCTCAGTGTTACCTACCTGATCTCTTCTGTATTACGGCAGATTTCGACCCTCCTCACAATGAACAGTACATTGCCATCCATGAAGAGTACGTTTGTCCTGAATTATCCATATGTCAACACTCCCATGGTGAGGATAGTTTTTTGTGCTTTAGCCGAATAAGGTTCTCATGATAAAGTTCTTACATTTAATCAAATTGAATACCGTGTGATTCCCTAAAATAGAAAGAAATTATAAATAGCCTGTTTTCGTACATGATTGGTCCTATTTTCACTCAAATGATCCCATACGTTCAGACCAAGCAGGCAAATTAAAGAACTAAAAATTGGATTTTCATCTCGAGGTGATTGGAAATATATAGATAACAGCATCAATATTACATGTTCAGTCTCAAGGTAAATCGTGTATAATCTAATATTAAGATGTTGAATTTCTCATGAGGAGCCGTCCGAAATATCTACGGATAGGAAAGCAATGAAATACAAATCAAATGCCAATACATTAACTTGCATCATCTGTTTATTTTTCATTTTTCTTTCTATTTTTTCTATTTTAAATAGTTGAATGGAAGGTTTCTATTTTGTTAATTCCATTTTGGTCAAATGCACTTTCAGTGAGAAATTCATTCACATTTTCCTCTGGCCCATTGTATATGCAGACTCTAATTCAGCCTCGAATTCAATACTTCCACAAATATGCTACTTTAGCCATGTCTATTCTTTGGCTCGACTCCCATCTTTTGAACCGGTCTGTTCCTTTTAACAGCCACTCTGAAGTTCAGCTTTCTGCAAAAGTTGGTACTCTAAACCTTGCATTTGGCATGAGCATAACTTACGATACAAATGCTAGAGAATTTTACGTGTTTGAAACAGGCACTAGCATGACAAATTCGGATTGTGAAGCATCAGTTGTTCTGTGAGTTACTTTACCTACGCTAGTGAAAAATATGAGTAGGTATTTCTAGTTAAACTCAGAGCATGTTGTAAGCTAAAGACCTGCTCAGAGTCAGCATTAATAGAGGTATCAACTGTAAATAGACTCAGAACCATATAGCAAAATATCTGATCCTGATTCTGTTTACAATTGATATCTCTAAATTAAGCATGATTTCTGCTTGCTGTTGTTGTTATCATTGTTGCTTGAGAATTTAAGACAATTCATTCTCTCATAACTTTACAGGAAAAACAAGGCTGAGATGCTAAAGGCAACATTTACATTATTTCGGTCATGAGAAGAAATTTTCAGCAGCAGAACCGACAACTAGGATGTTTTCACTATGAAATCAAACCCAAGGTCAACTTTACAATTTCTACTGAATTTGACGCCAGAGCCATTGACGAAAGACCTGAAATTGGATTGGTTCTCTATCTGGTGCTCTGAAGGTGTCTCCATCCTTCAGTTGTGCTGTCTAGCTGATGCAATTCTAATCCCCCATTAGTAATTACCTGAAATGGGCAGGTAGCCATTTTGGCATTTCCTATTTTGTTTTGCAGATGAACGCAATCAGTGTAGATTACCAATTCAGGTGAATGCCACCAACCAAATATATTTCATTTCAGAATCGAGACCATCACATTCTCTACGGGAAATCATTAGTTCATTATTATGAAGAAGAAAATGGTAGTAGGTAGGAAGTGTTACTGAAGCGAAATGGGGTTAACTTAAATTCATGTTCCAATCTTAAACGCCCGTGAGAGTATAGGGTCTTATTGACTACAGATTTGAAACAAAATGTAATGCAAAAGTTATGCAAACAAATCGCTTCACAACACAAGGAAACATTTATTTTGTTTCTTTAATTTTTTTTTCTTTTATTAGGCCTTAACGACTTTTTAACCAAAATTTGAGCTCCGTTCGTTTCTTGGGTGCTTCTCAGTTAATTAGCAAGAAGTTTATAAAGAAACTTTCCATTCTGTCACCTTCTCCACTAACTAAAACTCAACACAGAAAAAAATGAGTGGCTCCGACTCTGATCATCAAGAAAGCGCAAGAAACATAGGAGCTCAATAGAAATATATATCATGCATCTTATTTGCAAGCTTTCTTGTTCTCTATCATATTGTTCATTGTTTTCTTTTTTCTTTTTCTTCAAGTCATAACTGTATCAAAAAATTTCCTGTGCATTCTCATTTCTTTGAAAAAACCAAAGATTCTGTGTGTGTGTGTTTCCCCTTTCTTGGAAATGCTTCAATAGAAATATCTATGTATAAAGTTCTTGGTTTTTTTACTTCCAAAGTGCTCAGAAGTAAATGCCAATAAAGAAGCAATTAATGAAGGTGGTATTCTTTTTTCTGTTCTTGGAAAGTACATCAACCTTTGTTTTGCCAAGGTTTTCTTACTACTCTCTTTCAGTATTTTGACTCTATATCCAAGAAACTCTCATGAAGTATATCTACTTATTTGTCGATCACTTTTTAGGCCTGAGTTGTTTTCTTGATAAAGCTGGCCCTCAAATTTCATTGAAGACTACAGTTCCATCTCTGCAAATTTTGTAACATTTTGTTGTTATTTAACCTCTGCAGACCTGTTTCTCTACGATGTTAGTAAGCCCTTGCAGGTCTCGACGTAATCTTGGATTGGTATGTTGTGAGATTCCTTTAATGTAGTAAAAAGATTCAATTTTTTACACTTGCCCCGTGAATTTTTTTATTTTTGTTTTTTGTCATCAAATCAATTTCGTTCTTTCAAAATGTCTATAAGAAAAGAAAGACATTTATTCTTACTGTAGATAACATTTGAAAGACCACTTGCATATTATTATGATCCTAATCCTCGTAAGTTTACTGAGCAAAAATTGAAAAATGTATTTCATTGTTCAGACCCTTACTGAGGAGAGGATCATAAATGTCACAATTGATTCAAAATCACGGGTCAGTTGTTGTATTTAGTCCGCAGTTATTACTTGTGAACTTAAAAATATCATTTCTCTTACCTCAATATTATCTATCTGATGTCTTTTCTTTTATGGAAGATGTCTTCACTCCTCACATTAAGGAGAGCATCGCCATCCATGAAGAATACAGTTTTCCTGAAAATTCTAGATTACAACTCTTGCCTGGTAAGGATAGTTCTGCTGTTCTTTAGCAGAGTAAGGTTCTCATGATAGGATTCCTAGTTTCAATCAAATTGAATATTGTATCTTTATATAACTTGGAAAAAAACGATTAATTCCTTATTTTCATGTATGAATTGTCCTATTTTTAGTCGAATGATGAGAAATGTGCAGATACATAACTAGTCAGAAGCATGCGAACTCCAGGACCCATTTATAAGATGATAACAGCATTAATACATCTCCAGTCTCAAGTTAAATCTCATATAACCTGATACTAACATGTTTCATTTCTCATGAAGCTACTTAATACTTGATCCTTAAATTCAGAGATTATGCGCAGCATTTACGATTAGGATAACACTGGTCGTAATTTAATGCAAACAAAAATCTGGATTTTACATGCAATCCATTTATCTTTGATGCATAGGTGAACTAAATATCTGGTTTGTTAATTTCATATTGGTCAATTTCACTTTCAGTAAGAAATTAAGTCACCTTTTATTCTGCTCCATGCTATGTGCAGTTTCGATTTCGGCATCAAGTTCATTACTTCTCGAAAAATGCTGCTTTAGCCATATGTGTTCCTTGGATCCGCTATCTTCCTTTTTTCCGAACCCCTGAAGTTCATTTTGATGCAACAATTGGTTCTTCGAACCTTGCATTTGCTGTGGAGACCATATTCAATACAATCTCTAGAGAATTTAGAATTTTTCATGCAGGCATTAGCATGGCAAAGACGTATTGTGATGCAGCGATTATTATGTAAGTTACTCTACCTATACTAATTAAAAATATGAGCAAGCATTCCTAGTTAAACTCCCAATATATTGTAAGATAAAAACCCTGCTAACAGTCAACACGATCACTACTTGTTGCTGCTGTTGCTCTGCATTGTTGCCTCAACAGTAAAGGAGACTTGAACATAATTCGTAGTTTCGTACTATCTAAATTTTTCAGGGCACACGAAGGTGACTTTCTAAGGGCATCATATGTCCACTACTTTGATCATGAGAAGAAAGTTGCAGCAGCAGCATCGATCTCTAGGCATTTTTCTGGGAAGGAGAACTTACTTGTAGTCGGAGGATCATGGACTATGGACAATCTAACGACAATTAAGGCAAGGTTTGATAATCATGGAAGGATAGGCACTCTTCTGCAGCATGAAATCAAACCCAAGTCCAACTTAACAATTTCTATAGAATTTGACGCCAGAGCCCTTGACAAAAGACCTGCAATTGGATTGGCTCTCTCTCTGGTGCTCTAAAGGCTTCTCCACTTTTAAGTTTTGCTGTCCAGCTGATGCAATTTTGATCCCTCGTTATCCTCTTTTGACGGTGTTCTACAAGAAAAAAGCATAAGGACTTATTGCTTTCACCATATCTAGAACATATACAATTACAAGAAATGGAGGCTAAAACTAGCCTTTTCATTGCCTTCTGTTTAAAAGTTCAACTGCTGACCAGTTACCTAAATCCTGATCCGATTGAGCAGTTAGTCTGCATGCAGTCTGCAGACTCTGCACCATATAATTACATGACGCTTTTTCAAGCTATATATATCTTATTTTTGTTCTTTCTTATATATGCCATGTTTTCTAAAGGATCCTACATTCTTATTTTTGTTGTTTCTTGTATTTTGATCATTGATTACGCAAACCCATTATAATTCAGCTAGTTAGATCAGCGCAAAGCGCATTAACACACACAAGTTACTTCTTCAGAGAACAAGCAGTATGCCTGAGGATAGAGGCATAGAGCTGTTCTTATTCAACTGTGAAATAAAATGTTCAATATCCCACAGAAACTTTGGTGATATGATCTGATTCCTAGAAATGGCAGGTAGCCACTTTCTATTTCTAACAAGAGCAAAAAAATAAACTTAAAATGCCCTTCTTCATGTTGAAACAATATTGGTTGAAATAGTACTGTAATATTAAAATTGAACGCATCATTGTTTGCCAACAACAGTTATTGCAAATCATTCACTAAATTCTACCTACTCAAACATTCAAATTATCAAAGACAAATTATTTCCAGAAAATAATGTGGAAAAAACTGCTTTAATCACTTGAACACCAAGAAACTGTAAGCAGAAGAACTTAATCAGTATCTACAAGATTCATGCAAATAATCATATTTCATTTCAGAATCGACAGTGTCACATTCTCGAGGAGAAAATATTGTTTGTTTATTATTACTGACTATGGAGAAGAAAATGATGTTTTTTTTTCTTTTTCCTTGTTTTGGTACTTTAGAGGCTAGATAATATCAATGAAGAGAAATAGGGTTCATTTGGTGTTCTAATCATGATTAACCACCCATGGGAGGATAGGATCTTAAGGATTAAACGAATGAGATTCACCCATTTATGTCTGGTCCACCCTTGAAATGAATGCTACAAATGGAAGGGAAGCAGTAAAAGGCTACGCAAACAAACTTATTTCACAAATAGTGCAACTTCTCTTTGTTTCTTTAATTTTCTTTCCTTCTGTTAGGCACAAAGGAATCGAGAACTTTCAACTAACTAAAACTTCAATCAAATTTATTTCTTGTTGTTTCTTGGTTACCAAGAAGTTTAAAAAGAAACCTTCTATTCTTCTTCCTTCCCCACTGACTGGCTATGCAGAGGAAAAATGATTGTCACTGATAATCTAGAAAGCACAAGAAGCAAAGGAGTACCGCAAGGTCCTAGACTCTTCTCTGAATTGGAAATGCCTGCAATAGGTTCTTTCTAATCTCTTACATTTTGTTCGCAAGCTTTCTTGTTGTGTATTATATTGTTCTTTCCTTTCTTGTTTTGTATCTCGTTCTTTCTCAAGTCATCACATCCTCAGGCCAAAGAATTCCTGTGCCTTCTCATTAACGTTCTTTGAAATACTTAATGAAAGGATATCTCTGTGTTTCCCCTTTTCTTGGAATGCTTCAATTGAACTTCATAAATACATCATACGTTTGCTGAATCATTTTTCTGTTCTTGAAAAGCACATCATTTTCTTTTCTTTTTTTGTTATGCTAAGGTTCTGGTACTTATCTGCAAATCTTCTAATGGTTTGTTACTATTTTTCAGGCATGCTACTCTACAATAGTCACCAGTGCATTAGCATCTCAACTTCTCCCAATACTGGAGTGGCATGTTTCGAATTCTCCTTTACTGCTATGGTTTCTTATTTATTTTTTATATACTAATCCTTGTAATGCGTTGCATTGTTCAGATCCTTGCTGCATATTTTGCCAAACTTGGAGATCGCCATAAAGAAGGTATTGTAATGGAATTTGATTTCGGGGAGACTCGTACTGCTATTGGAGGCAAAGTTGGTACAGTTTCACCGGTGCTTAGTTCTCAGCTCGCTCTTGTAAACTTAGATCATGTTCTTTTACTTCAGTACTACCTATCTCATGTCTTTCCATAAAATGGCAGTTCTCAACAACCCTCGCATGGAACAGAACATCGCCATTCACGGAGAATGCTGTCACACTGAGATTGCCACAGTACAACTCTACCACTGTTGGACTCTTCTGCTTTCCCAAAGTTTAATTCACATTGAATACCTTGTGAATCTCCTACGTGAAGAAATTAATAAATCGTCCTGTTTCCATGCATGAATTGTATGAGATGAACTGAAAGGATCATACATAATGAGATGACTCGTGGAAATTAAACAAATTCATGGCATTTTATCTCCGGTTTTATCAAAGATATAAGGAAACGCAGATAAATGGACTGCCAAAAGTCTGCCAATTTCTTCTTGATAACAGCATTGATGCATCTCTAATGAATCTGAAGTAAAATCATGTAGGACCTAATATCAAGTTCTTGCATTTTGGATGAAGCTACTTTATCACCAAATGCAGAAACAATCTGCGGTATCTACAATTAAGGATAGAAATGAAATACAACTCAAATGCCAGTGAAGGATCAGCATTTCAATATTTTTTTGCTTTATTTTTTTTTCCTTGTTTTTATAGCTGAACCAAAGCTTTCTGTTGTGTTATTTTCATTTTATCGAGTGCATTTTCACAGAGAAATATAGTCACCTTTGCTTCTGACAATTGCATATGCAGTAACAAACCATCCTCATTTCTATTTCAGTATCGTCTTCTATCCTTCCACGAATATGCTACTCTAGCCATGTCTCTTCCTTTGATGGACGACTCAGCAACTGAAACTGAGCTTTCCACAACTCTCGGTACTCCACGAGTTGCATTTGGACTCGGAACAAAGTACCATACTGCTTCCAGACAATTTAGCACGTTCCAAGCAGGCATAGCATGAACAAGCCAAATTGTGATGCATCAATTACTTTGTAAGTTATTTACCTGCATTAGTGAAAACTTTGAGCAAAAAATTCCTTGTTAGACTCACAGCATAAACAACCTGCTAAGAGTCAGGATGATTAATGCTTGTGGCTGCTGTCATTATGTATAATTGCCCCAACAGAGAAGGAGACATTAAGACGATTCTCCCTGTCTAAACTTTTCAGGGTTGACAAGGCTGACTTGCTAAGGGCATCATATGTCCACTATTTTGATCATGAGAAGAAAGTTGCAGCAGCAGCAGTGATCTGTCGGAAGTTTTCGACAAAGGAGGATAGTCTGATAGTAGGAGGATAGTGGATTATGAACGATCTAACGATGATTAAGGGAAGGTTTGACAGTCGTGGAAGACTGGTCACTCTCCTGCAGCATAAAATCAAATCCAAGTCAAAGATAACAATTTCTAGTGAATTTGACACCAAAGCCCTTGGCAATATTCCTGCAATTGGATTCGGTCTCTCTCTCACGCTCTGAAAAAGTTTCTTCGTTTTTCAGTTGTTTGGTTCACCTGATGCGATTCTTGTATACGTTACCTTCTTTTGATGCTCTGCAAGAAAGGCAAACATAGATTCACTGCTTTAACCATATCATTTTTTTATCGTGCACCAGAAAAGTGCACAAGTACCCTTTTTCAAGCATCATATTTTTGTTGTTTCTTAGATTGTCATGTTGTCGGACAGATCCTGTATTTTTATCTTTGAATGCAACTTACCGCTCTGATCACTTGATTATGCAATCCATCATCACCAAGTAGCTGGATCCGTCCATTAACAGACAAACCTCACACAAGTATGCAAATTTTCTATTGTTTAATATCCTATAGAAACTACAGTGATATGCAATTCGTAGGGAATGGCAGGTGCGTGTTTTTCCATTATAATGAGCCGAAAAAAAAAACACTTGTACGGACCATTGTAGATGTTGAAACAGCTCTGGTTTAAGCCATACTGCAATACAAGAGCATCATCATTTGCAAAACAACAGTAGTTGCAATTCATTTTTTGACGAAACTAAATTCTACCTGCTAAAATATGCACCAGTCAGGAAAAGGTGCATGCATAATTGCAAATTATTAAAACAATAGCAAGCAAATTATTTCCAGAAAAAATATGTGCATATATAAATATATACCCGATTTCACTGCTTGAACACCTAAAAAATCTTGAACAGAAAGTATATAACCATTATTAGAAGACTGCAGATGGATATCTAATTAATGATATTTCTTCAGGTAAGCTCTGTGCTTGACCATCATATTACAACGTAATGACTACCAAATTAAGTAGCACTTACTTATACTCTGCGTCTTCTCAGTGAAATACGCCATCATACAAAAAGAGCAACACTTTTTCCTTCCTTTGGCCTCACCAAACCTGCACTAGAATTTATTTGCATCTTTTACCACCACAAAGTGTAAGCATTTTCCAGGTAAATCGTTCTATTCTCCAAGCTAATAGGTCAGGGCCATAATTTAGGCCAATGCCTTCAACCAAAATAATTGGTTTCAGTTCAGAATTCATTCTCGACTTTTGAACCTGGCACACCATTTCATTAGAAGCTCTTCAACATCAGCATCCATTCGGGTTCCAATGCCCCCCACAAGACCAACATGCGAGGAAGGTCTCCAATAGTTGAGCCCATCATTTGGGTTCCAACCCCCGTGGCGCCCCCCCCCCCCCCCCAAAAGAACAACATGCGAGGAAGGTCTCCAATAGTTGAGCCCGCCACTTCGTACACAAGCTTGAACCCAATTCTTCTATAGAACCTAACAAGCGAGAAAATCAAGAAAAAAGGCAATAGAGTTAAAACAGATTCAGCCATCTAGGTAAGAATTTTATATCTGCTAGGTAAAAGATCCAAGAACGTACGTTTCCATATTTTGGCAGCAGGGAATAATTAAGTCCTCCTGCTCAGTGTAATTGACCCTATCATTACTGGTAACCTTCATCTTTTTTTAACCATGTGGATAACTGAAAATACAATATATATTCATAATTTGACTTATTTTCATCATCTGCCAAACTTATTTTCAAGGATATATTGACTACGAGAGAATGTTTACTTTATATATAAATTTAAACAACATACTTTTATGCAGTTCTTCTGCAAATACAATATATATTCATAATTTGGTATAAACTCTTCAGAGAGTGAAGATGAATTTCCCATTAACCATCAAACAATACAGTGATGACACAAGTTATTTCTTAAGAAACTATAAAGTAAGGCTGTTAAGGGCACCTATGAAAAAACTTGGCCAGATAACATTATACCAAACATTGAATACGATTCGAAAAACAAATATGAAATAAGAAATAAACGACAAAATATCTACTAAAAGAGAAATTAAGCATAACATCACTAAATGAGAGTTTAACCTCAAAAACAGAATTAAGGATTAAGGATAATATTATATAAAACAAAACCTAAACAAAAAGGAACTACTAACAAGAACGTTAGCTGACAGAATTAACTTGCTCTAGTATCAATTTATTCCACTTCAAAAACAGCTCAAATTCAGCTACACACAACTTCCTCCTCCAATTCTTCTCCATCTCCGCCTTCTTCGTTCCATGCGCAAAATTCAATCCATTCCTGCCATATAATCATACATTCTTCCAACACTCAAACTGCCATAAAACTTCGACACCTTTTTAACACTTGAATCTCTCTATCTCAACTTCCATTCTGTCACATCCATATACAACTCAGCCTTCAACACTAATTTCAGATTCGCTAAATATCTTATTTTTTGACTTTTTTCACTTTCACATGATTCTAAAACTTCTTCTTTAAACTAAAAATATTATTATCCTTCAACTGAGTCATGGACACATCATTCATATCCTTTGATTGGTCATGACCTTTCTCTGCAGTAAAATAAATTACACCTTGAAGCAGAGCGATCTCATCCAACATGATCGACCCCGTTAACCCGTTACCCCTCTTCACGTCTGCTGATTTCTTCGGAGTGGCAGCTACAGCCGGTTCGGATCTCTATTCCTTGAAAGCTGCCGCCTCCTTTGTTGGGGTCAACCCGAAGGGTTAGAGATTATACGGTGTGGTTGGGTTGCAGTTCAGATTCGAATACTGACTCCGAACCATATTCTGATTCGGATTCAGATTCAGATTGTTGAGTGGTGGGTTCGGGTTTTTTGGGCGTTGAATTTTGGATTCGAGTGGTTTTGGTTTGTGGTTGAGGAGGAGAGGGTTGACTTTGTTCATCAGCAGATACCCCTTCTTCTTCACCACTAGAAGTTTCTTCCTCTTCTTCTTCAGAGCTAGAAGCAGAAGGTGGATCTTCAACGGGAGGGGGGCCTTTTGATACCATTGAGAAACAGAGAGAGTTAGGGTTTCGAAAGAGAGTTTGATAATAAGCGGCACGGTGGGTTTTGAGAGAAGAAGGAAAGTCGTCCCTACGAAATGTTGTTACTATCGTAGTAGAGGGTAAATAATTAACAGGGAAACTCATAACGACATCGTTATACTCAAAACAAGGGAAATTGTTGCCGTTTTGCATTAAAACAACTTTGTTTTCAAGAAAAAAATTAAAACGATTTAAATACCACATCATATGGTATTATAAATTTGTTGTTCCCATACATTAATTGTCCCTATACCAATGTATATGTATAAGATGATTAATTAGTACGTGTTTTCAAAAAAAATAATAATAACAATATTTTAAAATAACATAAACTTAAATTTTAATAAATACAAAAAAAAAAATTCTTTTTTAAAAATTTTGATTTGGATTTAATTTTTTTGTATGTAATTAATTATTTATATAGTGTTAGCTTTTCTCAAAAATATTAAATGAGTAAAAAATACATAAACCATTAAAATAATGACACATAAAACTAAATATTCTTTAAATTAAAAGTAAAATAACAAAAAAAAATCCCAAATTCAAATTAAAAAAAAAAAAATCAAAAGCCCTGATAGTTTGATTAAAATCTATTTTAAATCCATAATGCTAAATATTGTAACATAATCTATGACAATAAATCTTAATTTTTTAACTTCCTAAGGTCTCATATTCTTCTATGACTTTGAAAATTCTACAAGAGATTCTTTTCTATCTAATGCATCTTCTTTATAACTTTCTCGTTATTTATCATATAGTTCTTTGTTTTTTTATTTTGTATCTTTGTTTTCTTCCGACTCACAATTCTGCCAAAGGATTTCCATTAAATTAGTTTCTCTTTTCTTTAACAAGATTTTTTCTTTTTCGGAAATGCTTCTGTTTAATAAATATTGTGTAAACTCTTTGTTTTTACTTTGCAAGTGCTTAATTAGAAGAGAAGGACCAGTAAGAAAACAACAAAAGTGAGATTTTCTATGTTCTTTTTTTTTTTTTTGTTCTTAATAGCACATAATTAATCCCTTTGTTTTGTCCAGGTTTTCTTACTACTTTATTTCATTATTTTGATAATTTATCCAAGAAACTCTCAGCTTCTACATTAACAGTTTCTTGATAATGTGCCTCAAATTTCAACTAAAGACTATGCATAATGTTCTGTCATTTTTCACTTCTGTAGAATTGTTTATTGGTAATTTTGATCAATTGCACGTTAGGATCTCCTCTACTGGTATATTGGACTGGTAAGTTGTGAGTTTCCCTTTTTACTATAGTTTCCCCGCTAGGAATAGAATTCAAAAAAAAAAAAAAAAAATTCACCCATGATGTTTTTTATTATCAAATTCTTTTTCATTCTTTTAAATTGTCTACGATTTAGATGATCACTTGTGTATACTTATGATCCTAATTCTTATTAGTTACTGAGCAAAACTTGAATGTGGATCGCATTGTTAAGACTCTTGCTTCATTTGTTGCCAAATTTGGTGGAGGTTCAAGAGTAGGTATTGAAGCAAAACTATAGCAAGGATCCAGAGGATGCTACCATCAGTTGATATTTATTTAACATCACAAGTCAGTTCTTGGATTTAGTTTGCAGTTCTTACTTGCAAACTTGAAATATACTCTCACTTCAGTGCTACGTACCTGATGCCTTCTGTATTACAGCAGACTTCGACCCTCTTCACAGTGAACATTACATTGTCATCCATGAAGAGTACAATTTTTCAGAATTATCCATATCTCAACCCTCCCATGGCGAGGACAGTTTTTTGTGCTTGAGCTGAGTAAGGTTCTCATGATAAGGTTCCAATATTTAATCAAATTGAATATGCTGTCCTTGGCATATATTTATTTAACAATTTCTAGTGAATTTGACACCAAAGCCCTTGGCAATATTCCTGCAATTGGATTCGGTCTCTCTCTCACGCTCTGAAAAAGTTTCTTCATTTTTCAGTTGTTTGGTTCAGCTGATGCGATTCTTGTATATCATTAACTTCTTTTGATGCTCTGCAAGAAACTCAAACATAGATTTACTGCTTTAACCATATCAGTTTTTTAGTGTGCAGTGTGCACCATAAAAGTGGATAAGTACACTTTTTCAAGCATCATATTTTTGTTGTTTCTTAGATTGTCATGTTGTCGGACAGATCCTGCACTTTTATCTTTGATAGAAATTCATAGCTCTGATCACTTCATTATGCAATCCATCGTCACCAAGTAGTTGGATCAGTCCATTAACAGACAAACCTCACACAAGTTGGAAAATTTTCTATTGTTTAATATCCTATAGAAACTTCAGTCATATGCAATTCCTAGGATATGGCAGGTATGTGTTTTTCCATTTTAATGTGCCAAAATAAAAAAATGTACGGACCATTGTAGATGTTGAAACAGCTCTGGTTTAAGCCATACTGCAATACAAGAGCATCATCATTTGCAAAACAACAGTAGTTGCAATTCATTTTTTGACGAAACTAAATTCTAACTGCTCAAATATTTACCAGTCAGGAAAAGGTGCATGCATATTTGCAAATTATGACAACAATAGCTAGCAAATAATTTCCAGAAAAAATGTGTATATATGTACCCAATTTCACTGCTTGAACACCAACAAAATCTTGAACAGAAAGTATTTAACCACTGTTAGAAGACTGCAGATAGATATCTAATTAATGATATTTCTTCAGGTAAGCTCTGTGCTTGAGCATCATATTACAATGTAATGAGATACAACTAAAGTAGCATTTACTTATACTTTGTGTCTTCCCAGTGAAACACGCCATCAAACAAAAAGCGCAACACTTTTTCCTCCTTTGGCCTCACCAAACCTGCACTAGAATTTATTTGCATCTTTTACCAACCACAAAGTATAAGCATTTTCCAGGTAAATCGTTCTATTTCTCCAAGCTAATAGGTCAGGGCCATAATGTAGGCCAATGCCTTCAACCAAAAAAATTGGTTTCAGTTCAGAATTCCAGCCTTTGAAACACATAATTGCTGGATAAACTGCATAAGCAATGGGTCTCAACTTTCATTCTCCACTTTTGAACCTGGCACACCATTTTATTAGAAGCTCTTCGACATCAGCATCCATTCGGGTTCCAATGCCCCCCAGACCAACATGTGAGGAAGGTCTCCAATAGTTGAGCCCGTCACTTCGTACACAAACTTGAACCCAATTCTTGTATAGAACCTAACAAGCTAGAAAATCAAGAAACAAGGCAATACAGTTAAAACAGATTCAGCCATCTACGTAAGGATTTTATATCTGCTCGGTAAAAGATCCAACAACGTACGTTTTTAATAACCATAATCATATTTTGGCAGCAAGGAATAATTAAGTCCTACTGCTCTGTGTAATTGACCCTATCATTACTGGTAACCTTCATCATGTTTTAACCATGTGGATAACTAAAAAGGTTCGATAGTAAACACAAACCCACAACATTGTGAAATTTCCGACTAAATAATCAGCTTAAATTTAAAACAACTTTAGTTCTTCAATCAAAGGTCACAAAAGCAGATAAAATTATCCAAAAGACCTAAAGCAGAGAAGGGAATAGACTCTTGGTTTGAAATACAGTATAAATCAGAGTTCTTTTGGGAACTAATGACAAAAATCATAACTTTACCAACAAAGTGAACATACTATAAGAGAGCTGCTTTGATTTTGATAAACTGAAAACAGAACTGAAAGTGAAGGCAAATAACCTTGGAATGGTAAAGGTTGGAGTCATTAATAGCAAGCAACTCAGCAGTCTTACAACCACAATCATACCCATACCGAATAGCAACAGCTCCAATAAACAAACCAATGCCAAAGATTGATTTTTCCATGCCAAGTGTTTCTCTTCGCAATCTTATTGAATCAAGATGAAGAATTTTGCCTCTCAACCAGACCCTTATAAGCCCTTCAGCTCTCCCAAGCTCATTTTTAGTTTCAACACTCTTGGCTGTGATTCTAAAAAAGGGTCCTAGTATTTGTAGTTGAATGTCCAGGTTCTGGGCCTTTGATGCTGCCAATACTTCAGTCATGGTAGGTATAAGTACGTTTCTTTTGGTGTTGGTATCATTCTCATGTTGAATGTCGCTCCTTTTAATAGAACTGAAGTGGGTTTTTGTTGGCGCCATTTGATCTGTAGATGATAAACAGGAAAGTGGTGTGATTAAGTAAGAGATACGGTTTCTTGCATGTCTTCTTGGATTTGATAAAGAGATTTGGATGGTAGGAGTTACGGATGCCACTGCCATTTTCCCCAGTTGTTTAGTAGAGGAGAAGGACGAAAGAGAGGGAATTGAGTGGAAACTTCCAGATAGGCAGTGCTCTAGGGACTAGGGTGAGCTGAGGGATTTTGACGTGTTTTGATCTTGGAGATATATAAGGAGGTGAAGCGTGGCACATATTGCATCACCATTTCACTCCCAAGTCGTATGTCAAGTTTTAAAAATTAAAATTGGTCCCTAATTTTACTAGACGACCTGTCTTTGCAGCATATATTAGCGGTAGTGTGTAAAGCAGCTTTTATTAGTAGAGTTTCAACAATCAAATAATATAATTACATGAAACTGCCATCAGCGGTGGCTAAGATTGATATAACAATGACTGTACAAATGGATTTTTCCTACCACATAGGGAATTATACAACTATATATATACCAGGCTGAGGCAATATAAAATACAATGCTAAAAATTCTGATTGCTTTTGGCAAAGAACATATCGATTGAAAGATGTCTGCCTTCTTTTGGTGATGGTTTGTGCTTCTTCCGTCTGCTTTGGCTTGAGACGTGGCCCTTCTCGACAGACCTGAAATAGTCTCGAACTTGTCAGATCAAATGAAGATTCTTACTGGAAATACAGAAATTATACTAAGGAATGCAGTGCTCTTCATAATAAGCATAAAATTGACCCATTCTCTAGCGCCCAACCTAAACTCCTATATCTCGCACAAGGTAGCTAGAATGATTGACATGTTGTATAGACAAGAAAAGAAAATTAAAAAATTGCTGGCATCCACACGTAGATAACATGGATCGTTTAGGTTGGTAGCAGTTGCCCTGGGCAAAAGAGTAAAGCAGGGTTCGTGATCCCAAGTCCAATCCAGGACTTCATAAGTTGGGTTGGGGTTTAAGAGGGAGAGGGTCATTGCGTAGTCCAGTGATCACTGATCATAAATATATGTATACATGGCATATATGAAAAACAACCTCTGCCTCAGGGTAGAAGTTCTCGAATCAATGCTGGACTCATCCTTTTGAAGCCTCTCAGCAAGATGGAAATCCGAGTGCTCTTGTCTTTCCTCAACAAAATTTGATGGCATTTCAATCCCACATAGAGAGCACTTGTAGTCATCCACCCAAACTAACTCATCTCTCTGTTCAGATGAAAAAACCGCCTCATTGTCCATGATGACCTGGTTCGTTCTGTCAGCGCTTTTCCCCTCAATCTGTCCAGGCAAAGACAAGCCTGCTTCCTTGCACTGTGACACTTCCCCTAGCATATTCTTGGCAGTCACCTTGAAAATTGAAAAAAAAAAGAAGAAGAATAAGCTAAATAACAGAAGTAAGAATAAAGAAAATCAGAATACAATCTAAGTAACAATTTAACAAGAACTAGGCAGCCTTGTTAATTTGAATTTATTTCTAGTCAAAATTACGGACAGCTCTTCTTCTTTCCACACACCTTGTCCGCAATTTTGTTGCTTGAAGGTTCATGGGTTTTCTCAGCTTCAACATTATCAATGGAAGTGCAGTGGTGAACGTCCAGATCCCTTTGATTATTGCTGTCCACTGGATCTCTAATTCCATAATGTAGTAACTCATGACTGTCCACATAAAAAAAAAAGGCCATCCATCTCATTCAAGAAGTGTTGATCATTAATATCTGATCCCAAGGACATTGGATCACCCAAATTCTTACCTAGAAGAATCTCCTGACACAATGAAGTTGGTGAGAGTCTTTTGTGTTGGATCAGATGGAGCACCAATCTTGTCTTCGTTGAAATGAGACACTCGCAGGCCTGGCAGCAGATAATGTAAATGCTTTGTCATACTCTAAGTCCTACAAGGCATTGGATTATGTTCATTCAAGGTTCCTTCTCCATCCAAACACATTTCCCCAATATGTAAGCACGCTCCCAGAGAGAGACAAATATAACAAAACACAAAACACAAAACAGTTTGTTTTCACCTTTAGACAAAAGGCTAATATGAATTCTTACCCATCAGCCTTAAGGAAATAGGAAGTTCAGCCTTTAGCAGCTTTGAAGCATGCTTCAATATGTCTTCACATGAGCAAATATATTTTTCCAAAGTCACAGCTCTGCTTCGAACCTGTAGATTCATAATGGTTAGTAAACTTCAGTGCATAAATGACAAATTAGTAATAAGTACAAGAGAGGTCAGGAAGCGTAAGAATAAGGAAAGCAATAAAGACAAACAAATCTTAAATTTTCAATTAGAGAATCTGTTGCAGAGATAATCAACACTGAAAAGGTGAAATTCTTGTGTTGTCATAATCAAGCACAATAGCCTGCCTTTTGTTCAAATAAGCTAACCATTTCTTGCAAAATGCAGGAGGTTAAGATTTTATCTACAGTCCAGGTCATCCCCCTGGACCCTGCTTTGGTAGGACAAGTGCAAAGCATTGCCCTTCTTGAATCCATTAGCAATGGAGCATACCTCCTAACCTTAATCATATCTTCCACAGTGAGATGAAAAGCCAGCAAAAATTGCAGAGAAGCAAGGAACTTTGAACAGCATTAATCCATTTACAACTTATAATTTGTCCTTAAGTGTTCTCATAAAGAAGGCAACAAAACAAAGAATCAGAAAGTACCCCAAATGATGCAGTTTTCAATTTGAGAGTCAACGTTCGACCACAAAGACCTTCTTTTTTCATGTCTGTACATAGCATATCTGCAATATCAGCTGCCAACACAATTCCAACAGGGCTTGCTTAAGTAAAAAATTCCATTGATATTCTAGACAATTGAGTAACATTGAATGCCAAGCAAAACCTAACTGAGTGTATGTTTTCAGTATTGAGGCCAAACATGTTATTATTACAGCACTTTTAAGCCCTCCGTTATCAGCAATCTTCAGTCAGTTTGAGGTTTAATGAAGCCATGGATGAAAGCAACTGCTTCATCCCAAAGCATTACATACACTAGATAGAAAATAATAATAATAATAGATATGCATAGGCGGCTTACCTAATTTCTGATAAAGAAGTGCCTCATCATCAGTGGCTGAGAAAGTTCTCTCACTACTGATACTTTTTCGGGACCTGACTTGAGGAGTATCTGTCTTCCCAATCCCCAGACCCACGGAGAGAAAAAATCTGCTATAAATCAGCAAGTATCACACTAATGAAAACTGTCCACCAATTTCTCTGTGCACACTGTGCTTTCAAATCCATATGGTTTTATCTTATATTTTAGGAAATAGAGTCACCGCCAGTTGCTGTCAGAATGTCCAGCCTAAATAAAGACCCCCTGGATTTGGTTTACTTAGATCTTGTAAAGAGAACATCAAAATAATCTAAGTATCCATTATACATCGATTCAATGCCCATATAAGTTGTTGAGCAGATCTCAAATTGTTCTCACCAATCATTTCTATAGATTAACATTGTTTATACCCTCATCTGTTAAGCACGTAGTATTTCTGTGCAACAACCATGAAAAAAGAGGGAAACACTAGACAATGACTACCTGCTGTAGAATGAGAAAACAGTGCACAGAGGAGCCCGCCCTTTTGGATCATCTCTTCACATGTATTTATACCAAAAGCATCCTTCAGAATATGTTCAGTAACCTTACCAATGCCTCCAATCTGGATAGAGTTTGATGATGTGAAATAATACTAAAACTTCCCAAACCATTTAAGAAAAAACGAAATTTGCATTTTCCTATGAAACATGTTTAATTGAAATAAAGTCAAAGCAAATATACCTTCCTTATGGGGACTGAAGATATAAATGTCATGACGGCCAACCGATCATTTGGTAAAACAAACTGTCCATTGGGTTTATTTATATCTGAGCAAACCTGAGGACACGCATGTGTCAAGTTAAAATATATGGTAGAGATTTGTATTGTAAAAGGCATTATCTAAACAAGAAACTCCACCTCATTCTAGGTTACCTGCCTTCTTTTCAGGTAGCATTATTCCACTTTGATTAGGTGGCAATAATTTAAATGCATGAGCATAAGATTAGTCTCTTATGAGTTTGCTACTGGAGCTACGATAATTCATTCAGTTTAAAGCCAAAGATCATGCTTTGCAGACTGAAAAATTTTTCAGCCTAATTTTTCCTACTCTAAGTTAGGACTATTAAGCACGTGATCGTGATTCACGCAAATAAATGTAAAAGCAATTCACTCAGGCTGTAATAGATATTCCCTTTATATTTGATCAGTATAAATATTTTTAAAATAGCTTGCCATCCACTGATTCATTTTTATTTTTTATGATTATATGTCATCCACTAAATTAATCTCTCATCGACAAGTAAGGTTCTAAAGTTTTTATCCAGAAAAAGGCACCCGTTCTGTTGTGCATATTATCAAAATTACTTCCTTCGGTATTTTCTATGTCACTATTGGATGAAAAGGGAAGATGCCAGTCCATGCTGGAAGCAAACTGCAATGAAATATGGGAATAGCTGAAAGAACCTTAGCAAGTAAGCGGTTTGGGGCCACTCCAGCACTACAAGTCAGACCAGTCTCTTCGTTAACGCCTTTTCTAAGTTCTTCAGCAATCTTCATGATTACAATAAAAAAAAAAAAAAAAGGGAATGTCAATACCATACGATACAATGTAGGACAGAATTCCATAGAAAAGCAAAAGGAAGAAAATTCATCAACATACTTCTCCACCAGACATGCCTCTTTCTTTGCAGACCTCAGTTATATCCAGGTATGCTTCATCCAAACTAGCAGCCAAGAAATTAAGATCGTATTTCTCAAAAACTGCAGAGAAACATATGCAAGTCAAAGATTTGCATGTGATTAGAAAATGCATCACATAATCTCTATTAGATCATATTTCTGAAAAACTACAGAGAAGCATATGCACCTCAAAGATTCATATGTGATAAGAAAATGCATTAGATAATGTCCATTAGAACCCCATCGACTAACCTTTTCTTGTTAATTCACTGTAATGAGTGTACTTCTTGAAATCTGTCGGAACAAAAATTAACTCTGGACATAATTTACAGGCAATAAAACCAGGCATTGCAGCACGAACCCCAAATCTCCGTGCCTACAAAGTAATCAAACCAACATTTAGACACATTTTTTAAAAAAAAAAAAAAAAAAAAAAAAAAAAAAGAAGCAAATCAGATATGCAGACAATTAGTATTTAATTAAAACCCACATTTAAAACAACAGTAATATCAAATTCAAACCTCATAATTAGCAGTTGAAATCATAGACATGCCACCAACAGCCATTGGTTTCCCCTTCAACGAAGGATTACTCAATGTTTCAACAGCCGCATAGAAAGCATCCATATCCACATGTAACCAAATCCTCGAAAGATCACGAGTAGCTTCAAGCTCTAGAATTCTTCTATCTGCTACCTATATATCATAGTATATGAACTATATAAACTGCAAGAGGAATAAAAAGAAAAACCACAAACACTTATGAGGAATTCATGAGCTTTACAGTTTGATAGTGAGAGATATCATTGGCAGAGAGCTTCGCGCATTGGGCACGCATGTTTTCAATTTTTAGCCTCATCAAAGCCTCCTTTTTTCCTCATTCTCAAAATACTTTGATCCTTTACTCATTTCATAAATTACTTTTTGCACTTTCTCTTTGTCCACTCCTTCCATACCTAAAAACAAATTTTATAACCCATTGTTCAATCTAATTTCCAACAACATCCATCAGTTTCTAAGAGATTCAAATAAAAGTGTCATAATTTGCAAGTGCGAGGTGAAATAATTGTGAATAAAACAACCTAGTTGAAATTCAGGATAAAAAATTTTACTACCTGCTTTAGCGTTAGTGTAAACTGTGTGGTAAGATTGCCATGGACGAGGTTTATCTCCCGACGAAGTTTCATTTTTCTCCATCTCTCTCTCTCTCTCTCTCTGTTTTCTGTCTCTCTTTTTTATTTACCACTTGTTTTGTTTTTTGGGTATCGACAAAGCTTGCTGCAGAAGGAGGAGGGAAAGTGAGAATTGTTAAATATGTAAAGACTAAGGAAGAGGAAGAGGCCGCCAAATTTGGAGTGGAAGAATGGCTAGGCTTAAGAAGTGGTGAAGATGGGCCTTAATTGGATTCAAAGACAAACTTATTAGGCCTAATCTTCTGCTCTGCTTCATCATCAGGCCGTCGTAAACACGTTTCTGTAGGTAAAACCCAACTCCTTTTCGGCTCATAATCAAACCCAACTTCGTCCTTTTCCGTTTTTTTTTTAAGAATTATCGGGCCCACTTCTTTTTCTAACTTGTTGAAGTCAATCGTGTTTGGTTTCCCTTTCTAATGATTGGTGGGTGGATTTAATTATCACTTTATTATATACTATTTGAATTTTAGACAATTAAAAAAAAAAAAATTGTACAAGTGTAGTAGTTTTCATATTGACGGTATAAGTAAATAAAAAAATAGTTTTGGCATGTGAGATTTGATTTGAAAGTATTTTTATGTTTAAATTAATTGAGATTTGTTTCATTTGATATGATTTTTGTAAAGTTGTTTTAAAACTTTCAAATAAAAAAAAGCTAGAAATAAATTTTATTATAAAATTGAGTCCATTTTTTCTCTAATCAAACTCATTGGGAGTAATTTATATTTCTTTTATTCAAAAAGTTTGCTAGAGTTCAATATTTTTCAAATTTATTTAGGATATAACCCATTCTTGTCATAAATTTAAGTCAAGAGGTAATTTTCTGAAGTCGTACCGAAGGCACTGTTTCCATACAGCTGGATCCGACTTGCTTTTGTGACTCAAGCTCCTATCATCCTTTTGTCATTTTTCTGTGAAGTGTTATCATAGTGTTGTGTTAATACATAGCCAACTCTATAGCTTATCAAAAGACTCGTATGTGAAAAATGTTGGACGTGTTTATATATATATATATCGTGTCACTAAGAGTATATTTTTATCATTTTATATGTTTTGTCAATATTGAATCACGTTTAATTTTTTATTAATTTTAAAAATCAAATTTTTTGAACCTATTAATAGCTTATATACAGTGTTATAAAAAAATCTAAAAATAAGAATCAAAATCCTATCTAATAAGTAGAAATATTCTTTTTACTAAACTAAATTATAAGAAAATGAAAATTTATAAAGGGTATGAAACAAATCCAAATGATATCCATTATCTAAAATTAAATGATAAGTACCAATGCCTTTAATTGGAACTTTGTTTTGATTCCCCAAGAACAATAAACATTAATTTTCCTTTATGATTTGAATCAAAAGGAATCCCGACATTGTATTAGAAATATGAGTAGTGGAATCAGAATCAATCCACCAAGTATTATGAGAAACTTCAGTAAAGTTTGATTCAAAACATACTAAAGGAGAATAACGCTTATCTTTCTTTTCAAACCAAGCTTTACATTTCATGTAGTTTTTCTTTAAATGTCCAACTTTATTATAAAAGTGACATTTAACATTCCCATGTTCCTTCTTATGAGAACCCTTCGAAGATTCATTCGAGTTGAGTAAACCTTTCTTATTGCTCTTTTTAACTTTCTTTTTAGAATTCTTTTCGGCTCCTTAATGACTTAAGAAATGAATAGAATGAGCATTATGATTATTTAACCTTGTCTCCTCTTGTACAAGCATACTAGTCAATTCATTTACACTCAATTTATCTTTTATAGTATTTTAGTTCATGGAATGGACCATATTGCTTAAGAGACAAAGAGTTAAGTATGAACTATACTAAGAAATACTCATCAACATTCATTCCTAAGTTCTTTAATTTTACTTGTTAAAGACATCATCTTAAGAACATGCTCATGCATGGTACGTGAAACATCATATTACATGGTGGTTAAAGTACTCATTAATGTACCAACAAGAGACTTATCAACGGTTTGAGAGCGCTTTTTTACAAGTTCTTTAAATTCCTTAGCACTCGTCAATTTTAGGAAAGTAAACTTTATGTTGTTTATCACTATCATTCGCATAAACATTAAACTTAATTGATTTGTTCGATCTCTTCCCTAGCTTGATGGAAAGCCTTTTCATTATCATTATATCGACGGACATATCATCTTGAAGTGCTAAATCAAGATCTAGAACACCTAAGCAAAACTAGATTCGTTCCCACCGATCAAAGAAATTTAATTCATTAAACATAGGAACAGTATGAAGCTCGCGAATGAAGTGAAACAGGCACAAATATTGCAAATAAGATACTCTTGTATTAATACTTTGATTCATCAATTTAGATTCAAATATATAAACATAAGATACATCAAAGTTCTCATTTGGGTGATACTAAGATATACGACCATAAACGATAATTGGTAATAACATATGTACTAAATAGCTCTATTTTGCTATCTTTGGACATGCAAAGCAAAACAAATAGAATTTCTAATCACCATAATTATGTTTGTCAATTATAAGAACAATTAATCAACCTTTGGGCTGGTCATAAAATGTCTTATATGAATAAATTTCAATAGACCCACAAAAAAAAAAAACAATATTATATAACTTAATATCATTTAAAACTTTAAGGTTCATGGGTAATTAAAAATAATTTGCAATCTAAAATTTATTCACATTAAGATTTGACCACTTTAACGACAAATCATTCTTAATATATATTTTTCAAATTGCAAAAATAATACTTAAGCAATTTTAATGACACATATACTCCGAGTATGAAAAAACTCTAATATTTTACGAGTAATCAATTCGATTTATAATTTGAATTCTAAAATTACAAATAAAAGAGAAATCCATAATCTTAAATGGAAAAACTTGAGTTCCTAAACCAAACTCGATACCACATGTGAGTTTTAAATAAAATTTGATTGATCAATAAGACAAAAGTTTCATCATCATGAACACTATAATCAACAATTATGCGAGAATAAAAAAATAAATTCATCATACCCATAAATCTTAGAACTTCATGATTTTCACATAATTTAAAAGAAAACATACACAGATTCATCCTTAACCTTGATCAATACTATGAAGTAGATAATATGTGGTAAAAAACATAATTTAGATACATGCGGAATAAAAGCCATAAATTCATCATACCCATAAATCTTAATATGTCATGATTTTTATGTAATTTAAAAGAAAACATACATTGATTCATGTTTAGACCTTGATTCATGCTTAACCTTGGTCAATACTATGAAGTAGTTAATATGTTAAGAATAGTTTCTCTCGTTTGATCTCTCACTTAATGATGGAAATTGAAATTCTTAGATTTTTTTTTTTTTTTGTTCTATAATTTTCATTAAAAGCCAAAGAGAGGACTAACTCCTCGTTTTATAGCCTTAACCCAAGTCTTCCATTAAGACTTGTACATGTATTATTATTAACTACATGTATCATACTTAATAAAATACATGTATCATAATTGATTGGGTAAACTTTAATTATACGTGTATTATCATTAATTATATGTATCTTATTTAATTAGATACACTTTAACTATACATATATCATAATCAATACATGTATCATAATTATATATATACACGTATCAAATTAATATATGTATTTTGATTAATTAGCTATGCTTTAAATATAATATACAATATGGTTAACATTCAATTATATATTTTAGATACATGTATCGTTGAAGATACATTTATCATATAGACCATAATTACTCCTATAGATAAATCAAAGTTTTGATATCAATTATATACACTCGTGAAGCAAACACTTCTTTCTTTCTTCGTCTTCTTCTTCTTTTTTCTCACTTTTGATCGACACATAAGCACATGGAAAAATGTGAATTATTTTCTTTTCATTGATAAATTAATTTTTTATGTTAATTATATACACATGCAAAGAATGTTAATTATTTACTTTTTATTGATAAATCAATTTTTTTTATATTAGTTATATACAAGTGTGATGCACATATTTTTCTCTACCTTTTTCTCTTCTTGTTTTTGATCTTTACATAAGCACATGAAAAAATTTTAATTATTTGTTTTTCATTGATAAATCCTTTTTTATATCATTTGGATAAATATACAAACAAAGTGAATTATTTGCTTTTCATTTATAATTTTTTATATAAGCTATATACATGTATGGTGCACATACTTCTCTCTTCTTCTTTTTCTTTTTATGTTTTTAATTTTCACATAAATATAAGCAAACGATGAGAATTATTTGCTTTTTATTGGTAAATTAATTTTCTACATCAATTATATACACGTGCAAACAACGTGAATTATTTGGTTTTCATTGATAGATCAATTTTTTATATCAATTATATACATATGTGATGCATATGCTTCTCTCTTTTTCTTCTTTTTCTACCTTTGATCTTCGCACGAGCACACAAAAACAATGTGAATTATTTACTTTTCATTGATAAATCAATTTTTTATATCAATTATATACATATGTGATACACACACTTCTCACTTCTTCTTCTTTTTTTTGCTTTTGATCTAAGCATAAGCACTTGCAAACAATGGACATTATTTGGTTTTCATTGATAAATTTTTTATATCAATTATATACACATGCAAACAATGTAAATTATTTGCTTTTCATTGATAAATAAATTTTTCATATCAATTTCTTTACATGTGTGATCTTTACATAAACACATGCAAACAGCGTGAATTATTTTCTTTTCATTGATAAATCAATTTTTTATATTAATTACATATGCATGCAAGCAATGTGAATTATTTCTTTTTCATTGATAAATCAATTTTTTATACCGATTATATACACGTGTGATGCACACACTTCTCTCTTCTTCTTCTTTTCCTACTTTTGATATTCACATAAGCATATACAAACAATGTGAATTGTTTATTTTTCATTGACAAATCAAATTTTTATGTCAATTGTATACACATGCAAACAATGTGAATTATTTGCTTTTCATTGATAAATCAATGTTTTACATAAGTTATAGACACGTATGATGCATATACTTCTCTATTCTTCTTCTTCTTTTTAATCTTCACACAAGCACAACCAAACAATGTGAATTATTTGTTTTTCACCGATAAATCAATTTTTTATATCAATTATATACACACGTGTGATGCACAAACTTGTCGCTCTCTCTCTCTTTTTCCTCGCCTTTCTTATTCACATAAGCACATGCAAACAATGTGAATTATTTTATTTTCACTCGATAAATCAATTTTTTATATCAATTAGATACATACGTGATGCACAAACTTCTCTCTCCTTCTTTTTTTTTTTTTTTTTGCCTATGATCTTCACATAAGCATATGCAAACAATTTGAAATATTTTCTTTTCATTGATAAATCAATTTTTTTTATCAATTATATACACATGTGATGCACACACTTTTCCCTTCTTTTTTTTTTTTTTTTCTCGTTTTTGATCTTCACACAAGCACATGTAAACAATGCGAATTATTTGCTTTTCATTGATAAATTAATTTTTTATGTTAATTATATACATGTGTGATGCACATATTTCTCTCTCTCTCTCTCTTTTCTTGCTTTTGATCTTCATGTAAGCACATGCAAACAATGTGAATTATTTTGCTTTCATTGATACATCAAATTTTTATATCAATTGTATACATGTGAAAAGAGTGTGAATTGTTTGATTTTTGTTGATAAATCAATTTTTTATATTAGTTATATACACATGTGATGCATATATTTCTTTTTTCTTCTTTTTTTCTTACTTTTGATCTTCACATAAGCAAATGCAAACAATATAAATTATTTTTTTCATTAATAAAACAATTTTTTATATCAATTATATACATGTGCAAACAATGTGAATTATTTGCTTTTTTATTGATAAATCAATTTTTTATATCAATTATATACGAGATGTGATTAACACACTTATCTCTTCTTTTTCTTTTCTCGTTTTTTATTTTCACACAAGAACATGCAAATAATATGAATTATTTGCTTTTCATTGATAAATCAAATTTTTATATGAATTAGATACACGTTCAAACAAAATGAATTGTTTGCTTTCATTGATAAATCAATTTTTTTAAAATTAACTATATACACGTGAGATGCACACACTTCTCTCTTTTTCTTCTTTTCTTACTTTTGATCTTCACGTAAACACTTGCAAAAATTGTGAATTATTTATTTTTTATTGATAAATTTTTATATTAATTATATATACATGCAAACCACGGAAATTATTTGCTTTTCATTGATAAATCAAATTTTTATATAAATTTCTTTACACACATTATGCACATACTTATCTCTTCTTCTTTTATTTCTGCTTTTGATCTTCACTTAAGTACATGCAAACAATATGAATTATTTGATTTTCATTGATAAATCAATTTTTTTTATATCATAATATACTAATGACTAAATTATCAAGTATCTCTTGACAAAATTGATAAATTATGAAGAATACAGTAATTTGGCGTCTAGTCACCACGTGCATCATAAAATAAAAATGAGGTAACTATCAAATTGAATGCTATAATTTTTATGACTTTAGTAATCAAGTGTTTAAATTTTAATTTCAAAGTAATCGAGCGTTTAAATTTTAATTTTATTCGAGTAAGTGCATTAACATTTTACTATAACATCATGAAGAAGTGCACAAGTGGACGCTTGTTGGACTTGTGATGACCTGGACATGAACACATCACAAAGCACTTAGGACAGATATGGCGAACACATGACATATTGGCGCTTACTTTTCGAGAAGAAAAATTCTCTCCAAACAATTGATTGAATTAATTTTTTGACACTCTGAATCTGGCACCATTTGAACCAATCAGATGTTGAGCTGGTTAATTGCTGCGTGAGATGATTTGATCGAATATGAAATATATAAAAATATGACAATAAGGATATAAAAAAGCTGCTTGATTTGTGGCCTAATTATGAATCTTAGTTGGAAGTATATGAATTTATTGAAAAAAAAAGTGACCATAAACAAAGGCATTCGACAATGTTTGTAGAATGTCTAGTTGATTTTGTTCATAACAATAGATTGCTACATAAACTAGAGAACCTAAATTTTTTCCTTGTAAATTAAAAAAAAAATCTAAATATCAATACGAAACATCACAAAAAATTTTAAAATACTCAATAAATAATTATCAATATTTACTTTATGAATTTATTTTGAAGAGAATAGATAAAAAAAGAAAATAAAAAAAATCATATATGGATCCGCAAAAATCAATTTAAATATTTTCATTTAGGCATTTTTTTAATTTCTTATATTTGAAAATATTTTTATTATTTTTAATAGATACAAATGTGATTTATTTTTCGTATCTATCTATCTCCTGTAAAATAGATATTAATAGTTATATATTGAATAACATAAGATAACTTCGAAACGGCATTGCATGGTTTATATATCTATAGAAACTAAACATCACCACAAAACATCTAATATCATCAACAACATAAAATCTACATATAAGATGTTCAAACTAAGCAAAATTACCTAACATCATGGAAGTGACAGTTTGTTGAAGACACAATATTCTTGGCATACATTGTTTAAGCAAAATAAACCATCAGGTGCTTCAGTTCAATTGTCAATAATTTATGATCTTTGAGTTTTTATTAGTTAGTTATTAGTACTATGCTAGAGGTCCAACATAATAAATGAAATTATTTTAAAAAAAATATTTCAGTTTAATAGTCTACATTATATTATAAATCTCTTAAAATATGTTGAATCAAAAGTAAAAATAAAAAAAATCCTAAATTTATAATTTTTTAATCAAAATTTTGTATTTAATTTATTATTTCTTATGTTTTTTTTCATTTTTTTTACTTGAAAAACATAATTTGTTCTTCCTTATGCATTGATTATTAGATAAAAAAACTTGCAATAATCTAAATAAAAAATTTATTCTAAATTTTTTAAAATACCTTAATATTTATATCCATAAGATTACATAAAAAAAATAAAATAACAATTAATGTAAAAACTTGTATAAAAAATAAAAAAAGGAAAAAATTATTTTTTTATTCTTATTCAATGTTGATGAGAAGATTATTTTTTAAAAGTATGGATATTTGATTTATATATATTTATTCACAAAATAATCAATAGTATTAGCATAAAAAGTTGTATTTAAATCATTATCTCAATAATTTTATTTGAATTTTTTTTATAATATTGAAAAAATAAATGGTTGGCGCTATAGGTGTAGATGGATAGTAAATTTGTAATAAAACTAATAATCTTAATTATATATATATATATATATATATTATGACCATAATAGTTTTAGAGTGCACAACATAAATAAAAAAAATATATGCATAAAAAAAACACTTAACGTAAGGAATATATTGAATAAATTTAAGATTGATAGATTAAAATAAAAATTATTATAAAATTAATTTTAATAAATTTTGATTATACAAAGAAGAAGTAAGTTTGAAATATATTTTGTGAAATATATTTTTATCTTTTTAATATTTATAAGCAAGTAGGCAAGAATGCCGTGGAAAATTATTTTATAATATTAAAAAAATAAATGGTTGATGCTATAGGTGTAGATGGATAGTTAATTTGTAAAAAAACTAATAATCTTAATTATATATATATATGTGACCATAATAGTTTTAGAGTGCACAACATAAATTAAAAAAAGCACTTAACATAAGGAATATATTGAATAAATTTAAAATTGATAGATTAAAATAAAAATTATTAAAAAATTAATTTTAATAAATTTTGATTATAAAAAGAAGAAGTAAGTTAACATGTGAATTCTATTTTTAATTAATTATTTTAAAAAATTCAAAAAAGTTTGAGACATATTATATGAAATATATTTTTCTCTTTTTAATATTTATAAGCAAGTAGGCAAGAATGACGTCACAAATTAATATGGAAAAAAGAAAACACAATGCTTGTGGCCACTAGGAGACAAATTTTATAATAATTAAGGAATAATTAGTGGTATGTACAATAGTTACTCCATGGACTCATGATGAAAATCTTCTAATCACTTTTAGTGGTGGATCCGAATGTAATTCTCTCTCTTTTTTTGTGTCTATCTCTCTACTTAAAGTGTATCTATGGAGTAACTACCGTACATGCTACTAGTTACTCATCGAGTATTGCAAAACTTCTTGCCACTAGGAAGTTAGTAATAGAACATAAGTGATTTTTAAAAAAGAATCATAAAAATATTTGATGCTATTTACAAGTAAATATAAATTAGTTTCATTAGTCTTGAGAAACAAATCAATTATTTTTGTAATGATTGATTTTTATATTTTTAAATTTTCTTATAATTTATTTTAATTTTTAGTTTTAAGAAATAAAAAATATGAAAGGATGGATGAAGAAAATAATATTTTTTGAAATAAATTAATATTAAATATGATCTATACTGATTAAGAAATTAATTTTTTTTAAATAATTTTTGAAAGAAAGGTTTTAATTAATTCGTCTCTATAAAACAGTGGAATTAATTTACAATTTACTCCACTATATATTGACAACATCCTATTTTACTCTACGCTCTCCCACACAGTTCACATGAAACGACTAGTCTTTCCAAATATAGTGGAGTCAAACAAAGAAATCATGTCTCTGACAAACACCTGTGTGGTGAGGGGGTTGCTGCCTATGTCTGTACAAAACAACTCATTAATGCCAACAAAACCCTCACCATTGACGAAGAAATTTAGAAATTTAAACACACCAATCATTCATCAAAATTATGGAATCGTGTTAGGATTTGTATTAGCCTCATGAAATCATTAAAATATCCAACCACGTTTTCTCTTCTCTCTCTCTTACATTTTATAAATCATTGCAAGGCTGTCGTATCCAGCTACCCCGTCTTTAACCTTATTACACTGAGTTTGGTTATATATATATCATTCGGTAGATCCATACCATTTTTATATGTTTATTTATTGATTATTTTCTTTTTGAGAGATGAATGCTGTTGGGGTTAAGCCAGCACTGCCTGGAATTTCGAGCTCGAAAAAGTTCGGATTTTTTAGCTTCAATGGTGGAAATCGAGCCATTGATTCGAAAACCAGAGGGGTTTGCCTAATCAAGGCTTCTATGGAAGAGACGCAGACGCTTAAACTGGATGTTAATGGCAGGGTGGATAAGTTGACAAATGGGCATGCAGGTAAATTTTTATTTGGTTTCATTTGTGTGGATAATAGTAATTGAGTTTGAATCAGTTTGTTAAAGTTTGGTTGGTGAAAAAGTAAAGAATTCAAGGGTGTATGACTTTTGATGTCGTTTTCTTTCCTGAAAAGCGTGCGTTAATTAAGGTACTAATTGTGATTTATCGATCTGATTCTTATTCTTCTTTTTAAAGTTTGGATTTTGACTTGATTCTTCTCGTGGGGTTAGGGAAAAATGATAACCAATTGTCTACGGTAGGAAATTCAACCAACATAAAGTGGCATGAATCCCAAGTTGAAAAAATTGACAGGCAGAAGCTTCTCCAACAGAAGGGTTGTGTTATTTGGATAACCGGTCTCAGTGGTTCAGGTTTGTTGTTCTTGCCTCTATTGAATTGTTCTTGTGTTTTTCTCTCTCTCTAAACTTGCCATTTAAGTGCTTTCTCACAAATACACATGAAGCTTAGCGTGTATCACGTTGATTCTATTTTTTTTTTTTTTTTGGTTTTTCATTGCAACTATGGATTTCTGGGGCCATTAGGGTAAGAAGTTGTAGATTTCTAGATATTTTGTGTATCTAGTCCTCTCTCTTTTTTGCCTCTTGCTTATCTATATTTCATGCCTTCTTATTTTCTGAAAATCTAATGATAGGGAAGAGCACTGTGGCATGTGCCTTGAGTCAAATGTTGTACCAGAGAGGAAAGTTGTCTTACATTCTTGATGGCGACAACGTCAGGCATGGCCTAAATCGTGACCTTGGTTTTAAAGCAGAAGACCGTGTAGAGAACATAAGGAGAGTTGGTAGGTCTTGTATTAATTGTTTGCATCTTGTGATTTTCCTTCAATAATTACTTGCTATACTATCATGTGCGAAAGTGGGAACTCATGGACCTTGGATGATTGAGTATAAAATTTTATAATTTGACTCTTTTGTGTTTAGGGGAGGTGGCAAAACTATTTGCAGATGCTGGATTTATTTGCATTGCTTGCCTGATTTCTCCATACAGAAGGGATCGGGCTGCCTGTCGTGCAATGTTACCAAGTGGAGATTTTGTTGAGGTTGGTGCTTCTCCAGCTTATGACTACTTTTTCAAACTGTAAATGCAGCAAGTTGGGTTTTATTGTAGTTCTTTTTTTCTTTCCTTTGTACTTAGTTTTGGATCTGACCTTCAAATATTGCACATGTTGCTAACTTTGCCTGATCTGGTGATGAAATGTTGCTCATGCTGCTAATTGTGCCTGATGGGGCTTTTGTAACAGGTGTTTATGGATGTTCCCCTCCGAGTTTGTGAGGACAGAGACCCAAAAGGCTTGTATAAGCTTGCTCGTGCAGGGAAGATCAAAGGTTTTCCTAGAGAACTGCAATGCATCTGAGTTCTACTGCATATTTATTAACTGTTAAGAGTTCTTATTTTCACCTATATCTTGCAGGTTTTACTGGCATTGATGATCCATATGAACCTCCATTGGATGCTGAGGTAATTGTATGAAGCAAAAACAGAATATTCTGGCCAACATAAATGCTATGCACTGTTAAAACATGCATATGCACCTGCATGATTGTCTAGTGGGATGAAATGTGCTATTTTTTTTCTTTCGTTCAGATGATCGATTTTAAATGAAGCTTATAAATTGTCGTACTCCTTGTTTGGTTCTATTTTAAGCTGCAAGAAAGCAGCAATGGTCATTAGTTCTGTGTATGAATTGCAATGTGCTTAATCACTTAGTCTGGTTTTATTCAGATTATAAAAGCTCTTTGTAGAAAGAACGTTAATTTGTGGTTGAGTATAAACTAACCCACACTGTTCTAAAAATTGCACATATGGGTTGCTCCTGGGATATATTTTATTGTTCAAAATGGGTGACTTCATAAAGAGAACACCATAGAAGCATGCTCACTACCTTTGGAATTGCAAATCCCGTGCATGGTTTCAAGCAATCCATTTTATGAGAATCTGTTATATTAATAGCAGCAATGCAGAATAGGGTGAATTACAAAACTTTACTATGATCACCTCTGTTCTGTTGTCTCAACAATCATGTAGCTTGCTTACATTAATATTTGCCAATATGTTATGAAGAAGCCTGATTGGCTCATCTCTTACTTACTTATTTGTATCACCATCGCTATTTGATTCTTCTACCCGTTCCCAACATTCTTGCATATTATCAATATATTGTATTCATTGTTTGAAATTTTGTTTTGTTTTTCAGATAGCGTTGCAATGCAACACAGGAGACTGTTCTACCCCATATGACATGGCTCAAAAGGTCATTTCGTACTTGGAGGAAAAAGGGTTTCTCCAAGCATAAAATTGCTTCTGTGGTCTCAGCCTTGATGCCTTTGCTATTGTATTGTTATTAACAATGGAGGAAGCTGCTCCTCCCCTAGTTGATAAATGTCAAATAAATTGATTCATCTTTTGGTGCTTCGTTAGTTAATTTATTAATTAACTAACGCCACCTTTAGGCCTCTGCAATGCCGATTGGAAATTTCATTTCTTCTGATTTGTATGTGTTAATCAAGCTGGAATTGACTAGGCAAAAATGTAAAATAGCTACCAATGTTTCTGTGGGCTAAGTAGTTATGCATACAAAGAGAAAAATGAAAAGAAGAACTAATAATAGATTTCTATGTTTTTCATATTTGATTTTGTTTTCTTTTCTCTCCGCCATCACCTGTTGCAATCTACATTATTGTTGAAGAAATTGGAATTTTGATTCAGTTGTTCATGAGCTGTCCTGAGGTGTTTCTTTATGCAGAAGTGGAGTGCTGCTATATTGTTGTTGTCAGTCTCATTTCTAGTTTTGGCCTTGTTTGTGTTGAGGTGATGTATTTTCTTTTCGCCTGAATCAAATATTTCTCTGGAGATAACCGTGAAATAGCTATAAAAAGGGTATTTTAAAAAATTTCTCTGCACGTATACCTATTTTAAGTGAATGATTGATCCAAAGCCAACAAAGTTAAGGTATCATCGCCCTATTTTGTATGATAGAAATCAACGTTCCATGTGGCTGGAGTTTGTGGCGGTTAATCTTCTGTGAAAAAAATACGACAATTTTTTAGCTAAATTTTTTTCAACAATTGGAGGCTCTTTTATTCGTTTTAATCCAGACATACTACAGGTAAAATAGTAATTATATGGTTTCACATGTTTTATGTTGTGTTCAGTAATATAATTGTACCGTGTTTGAAAGTATTTTTTTAAGTGTATTTGGATTGAAAAACATCAATTTAATGTCTTTCAAAAAGCGTCAATTAAATATTTTTTTCAATTCAAATATGCTTTTATAAAAATACACCTATTTTATTAGTAAACACACACTTACTTGCATATAGGTTTGACTCAATTAAATTTGCAAGTTTTCGTAAATCTAATTCTTTCACTCTGATTGAAAGCTACTTCTTATAAAATATAGTGACTGTAGTAGTGAGTTCTTGTATAAAAAATTTAATAGCGTTATCTGTTACACGTCACCGAAAGTTTTTCCCTCTATAATGCTACTTTTATAAAGACATAGCACAATGGTTGGAGTTGGATCAGTGAAGTTGATAGCTTTTAATATCAATAAAGCTGGAAAATAGATAAACAAATGTGGTTAAAAAAAGTATTTTAAAATACCTCCTTTTAAGTCAACATCAATATGCTCCCGTCCCGGCTCATTCAAACCCGTGACCCGTGGGTAACCATGTGTAATACTTTTTCGAAATGGGCCACGCAGGGCAGGCTTGTATATGTATGCTGTTGAAGCGGTGCTTTGGCCCAAAGAAAGACGGTTCCAATTGTGGGCTGAGGTTGTTTTTGCAAATTCAATTTCTTCCAATGCATTTTTTTGGTAACAAATAAGCAGACAACAAAACAGAGTAAATTATAAATTAATTCCTCTGGTTTATAAAAACTAATTAACTAGTCTCCTTCTTTTCAAAAATTAATTATTTAGTTTTTCATATTTTAATTCTGTTAATAACCTAATTTTGTCATCCGTTTTTCATTAGATTAGTTATTTTTATTTTCAAATTGCTTTTTATTTGATGCTTTATTTTTCTTTTTTACCTCCTTTTTTTCTTCCTTCAACCATCGTGGTGACTTCACTTTCAATTTCTTCAAGTCAGTTTCGCTTTTTTTTAACCATCATGGTGACCTTTCTCTTTCTTTAACAATCATCGTGATCTCTTTTTCAATTTTTTCAATTGGTTGATCATTGAAGAGAGAGAGAGAGAGAGACAGTGGAGGAAAGACAAAAATAAAATATCAAATGAATGGTAGTTTGATAATAAAAAATATCATAGTAGAATACTTCATCGGCAATCTAATGAAAAATAATGAAAAAATTAAGTTATTGATTAAATCAAAATGTAAGAAATTAAATGATTAGGTTTTAAAACAGGAAGGATTAATTAGTTTATTTTTTAAAATGTGAGGAACTTTGTTTAAATTTACTCCAAGTATGCAATCAACGAACGAGAAAAAAGAAAAGTTTAGATAGTCTCTAAACTAAAATGCTTTTTTATGGTTAGCTTAAGATGACAGACTTAGCTCGCCAGTTCATTCAAATTATGTCGTGATAATATGGTGCGAGTTGTGCAAAAAGTTATATATTCACATAATTTTAAAACATTAGTTAAAATATGTATGATAATGTGTAGAAGACAAGAGAGTGGGAAGCTAGATTAGATAAAGAAATTAATTTGGTTGTTGTTGACACGGTTTATCCTTTACTTTTAACCATTCATTTGAAAAATGAATAAATCGACTAAACCCATTTCATTTTTCTTGCCTTTTCTTTTTACATATTATTAGATAGGAAAATATAGAAGCTGGAGGAATAATTCTAAAATATAAAATAAAATAAAAGATGTGTATTATTATGGATTTGACCTTTTTCAAGTTCACCGTGTTCAAATTAACTAACTTTTTTCTTAAATCGAATCAAATCAGTTTTTTTTTCATATTAAATTGCGAAGTAAAGAAATATATATATATATACATATATCTCATGAAAACTAGTATTGTCCTAAAAAATGATATAACTATTCGATTAGAATTCCCTTAGATGATCTATTAAATTACAATTATATTAAATCCTCGCTCGTTTGAATGGTTTAACCAAATGAATGTCTCCTCTATTCTATCTCCTAAATGAATAGTTAGGATAAATTCGATCCAATAGTTAGAATTAATTATCTAAAATTCTCTTATTTAAATATTTACAAGTAGCATTCTATATATAAATACATTAGAATAATCTAGAGACTTTTTAGAATTATCTAAAACATGTCTAATTTTTTCTTTAACAATCCAAAGGCCTTTTCAATACTATAGAGACTTTTGAAAACTTTTAAGCTTATTTAACGTTCTCTTAAAGTTCTATAATCTTTCATAATTTTTTTAACCATCGAATCTTGTTTCTTTCTATCAAGGTGTAACATTCTCCCCCACTATTTTGGCAATGCTCTCATTGTGCCTTAGTGATACTCTTAAATTTTCTATTTTTAGGTAGCCGAAGTTTCTAGTAACCCTTTTTATTTTAAATAGTATTATTTTTTTGATGGTATTCTATGATGTTGTACTATGAGGTCATCAAGTAGGACATTAACTTATTTGTCATATAAGTTAACTATTATTATACCGAGTTTTATGAAAAAATCCTTAGCTTGGATCCTCATTGTTAGCATGGTATTGCTTCAACATACTTAAAGGTGAAACACTAAATGGATCTCAACTTTGATGGAACTTTTAGATGATAAGACATCTCTTCTACTTTCTGTATTATTTTGAACCATCTTTCATATCGATATATAACATCAATGTGAACCTTTCAAAGAATATTATGTCTATGCAATAACAACTTTACCATTATTTTATCTTCTAATTAGAAGTTCATATCTTTATATCTCTTGTCAGCTCATATCAGCTCATATCTTCTGAACGGCATCCTCATACCTTGTCATTGCCTCTTAATGTTATGCAAACACCATGCTATCTCCAATAAAATTCGAAAGAACTGCTAGCTCTAATACTTCACATACCTAATATCACTCGTCCTAGCAGATAAATCATTTGCAACGTCTTGCTTATCTTACCAATCCACATCTTAATCATATATATATATATATATATATTTTGGGGAGAAATACCCTCATCCTTATTATTATCCTTTGTATATAAATATTGATGAGATTATTAATGCGGTGAGAATAAAACATACGAAGAAGAAGACCTTATGGTCCTTGCCAGATTAATTCATTATATGACGATAGAAATGAATGCTTTATGAATTTATGGACATATGTTATCTTCTTTTTGTTTAATGTTAACATAACATTGAAATGACCATTAATATATTCTAAAAATAATAAATTCAAAGATATGCCTTAAGTTATCCTTGTTATGTGAGGGCAAGGGTACATTCGTCCTTGCGGTCATTCATCGAAATAGCCTGGTGGATTTGGTTCGAATACCAATGTCAACAGACTATGTCCGTCCATTTGGCAATAACCCATAACTGTGCATGTTCGTTTATGAATCCACTATGCTGGATTGGTTAATGCGGCTTCATGTGGCCTTCCCCCTCAGTTAAACCTTCAAGAATTCATTAAGGCTGTGTTTGTTTGAAAAAAAAAAGTCTTAGGAATTTGTTTTTTTTTTTTTTGTGTTTATTTTACGTTTAGAAAAAAAAATAACAAAAAATAATTTTTAGTCAATGGAAAATGATAAAGTATTTTTAAAAAAATGTTTGCCTAGTTTAAAAAGAGGAAAATATTTTCCTTTTTACGAGTCGTCTCACTCTCGCGTTACTTACCTCTCTCTCTCTCTCTCGATATATTTTAACAATTTTTTCTCTATCTTCTTTTTATTTAAAATATACCAAATTAATTTTTAATTATTCATTATCAATTATTATTTAATTACTTTTTCTCTATTTCTATTGATATTTTATTTTTTGATTTATGGATATATTAAATATTCTTAAAAGCTATTTTTACACCTTAAAATTATTTTTATAATAAATATTTCAATAATTTATTTTTATTTTTTTTACTATTATCTCAAACACCATTTACACTATACTTAAATGAATGAAAATGATTATTACAAGACTTGTAATTTTTTATTAAAAAAATTAAAATTAATTAATTCGTTAATAAATACATTATTTTTTCAATACTATTCATTTGCAACTAAATCAATAATTTATAATTTTAATCAGTTGTAAAATTTTGTTGGTAATTGTAGTGAATAATTAGTTACAAATTATTCCGACATTAATCTTTTGAAATCAAATGAATAATTATCTACAAATGATAACTA